ATTAAATTTACACTGTTTGATCCACGTAACTACAACAGGGAACTATAAGTTAGCATGTTGACCATATTGTGATTATCAAACACCATAAGATACCAATCAAATTAAAAACTCATGGCTTCATAGTTTTCTTTTCCTTTCCCTTACTTTCTCTCACTTCATACATCAATCAAACAAGACACTAACATCAAACCATAACACATAAAAACACCGGAAAAGAGAAGAGACCTTTTTGCCAGAATCATCGAGGAAGAAGACTCGGTAATCTAGGTTTCGGGTTGGCCTTCCTCTTTGATCTGAACTTGGGGATTGTAAATTGCACTGCAAGTGACCATCTTTTCTTGGCACTAATCGATTGTTGGGGCAAAAAAGCTCAAACTTTGAGGTCTTCGCAATGGCCCTTTGAACAGCAAAGTTGTGGCGGCAGTGGTGCTTGCTGACACTACGATTCTGGTGGCCGCCATTGACGCTGATTTGGTGGGGAACAAGTAGTGAAGTGCGAATACTACAAGTATTAACTGCTGCTTAACTTCGACCACAGACCCAAATGGTCGATTTGATTGTGGGTCTTCCCTTTGTTTTAGTCACCCGTGAGACATGAATCAGCGACCATGATTAAATTTCGAGTAAATTACACTTTTTCCCCCTGAATTATAATTTATTTATTTCACTTTATACCTTCAATTATAAAATTTTTCACATTATATCATAAAAACTTTTGGTTTGAATTAAACCCCACCTACTCAAGTAGACCCTAAACCCCAATTTTAAAATTGGAGTGTGTTCCAATTCGAAACTCCAATTCTCCGTAGACATCCATCGCAAGTGGTAGCTCAATGAGTTCGTCAGAAATTGAAATCGTATCAGACTCTAATGATCAAAAGAACTCAGGACGAAACCCTAGCGAGGTACCTATAATCGATGTTTACTCTGCTTCAGCTTACGGAGATTTCGAGAAATTGCGAAAATTCGTTGAAGAAGACGGGCTTTCTCTATCTCAACCGGACGGTAGTGGCCATTACGCGCTTCAATGGGCTGCTCTAAATAATTTTGCCGATATTGTGCAATATATAATCGAGGTATTCTTAATTACTTTTGGTTAATTATTTCTATCTCAATTTTAATTGGAGTTGTTAAAATTTAGTTGAACTTGTGTTGGTGTTGAAGCATGGTGGTGAAGTGAATGCCACTAATAATGCGGGGCAGACTGCCCTGCATTGGGCGGCTGTCCGGGGTTCGATGGCGGCTGCAGACGTGTTGTTGCAGAATGGGGCACGGGTTGAGGCGGTTGATATAAATGGTTATCGGGTAATTTTCGAAATTGTGTTTCGATTTTAGAAGCGATCCTGCTGTGAATTTTTGTTGGGGTTCTCGAATGTTCCTTAAGAATTTTTTTGCTGCTTTTCATGGTTAAGTGGCTTGTAGCTATGAATGAACTTTTAGGAATTGTACGAGTCTTTGCAAGCATTTTCCACATGGGGACCAAACAATGGCGTCTCCAGGAACTTTTTTTTTAGCTATACTAGCTCTATGAAAAGCAATTTTAATCATTTCAAGATCAGTATTGTATCATCTCATTTGTTCGTTGGGTTGAGTAGGAGATGTGTAACACACCCAATTTGCATTGTGTATTATTGACTAGTTCACATGACTTTAGAATGCGGTGTGCAATGAAAGTCCAAAACTTATAAGACGTCGCACACACGCTTCATCGAAAATGAGGGATACGGCACTTGTACTTGACACCCTGGTTCAATCATCTTGTTCCCAAGCATTAGGAGTCTTGACCTCTTGGTTCTTGTGTTACCACAATACATTCTCTTAGGTCACACGTCCTTGTGTGGGATCCGTTCCTCATTTCCGTTTGGTGCTAGATCTAATAGCAATTGTTATCTCCCATCTCGCATTGTACCATACTGTTCGCCTTGAACTAGTTCCATGTGATGTGACTTTAAAACACGTTATCCAAAACTTAAACCATGTCTGCACTGCTTTAAAACGAGTTATACACTAAAGGTACAAAACTCATAATTACAAAGTGCATCACACACTTCACCAATAAATGTGGATAAGGTACGTGGGATTCACACCCTCACCTCACCTCACACATCTTGACCCTAAACCTGTGACCTAAATCTCACTACCTGGCCTCTTGGATCTTGGGTCGCCAAATGAACAGTAAGCTAAAGTGGATGACAACCCTAATAATAATGAATATGATAAGAAAATCTCAATTACAAGTTCAACAAATTATTCCAACATAAATAAGCAACCGTCTATTGCATAGCACTAAAACAATTAGACATTTGAAATAACTAAATGCAATCCAATCAAATAAAATTTGGGTTTTTTTACCTTGAATAAGGCATCTCTCTCTCTCTCTCTCTCTCACATGCACACACACACACACCGCCTGAAGTTGGTGGCTTGGTGTAGGGAGTGCTGATCATTCTCGTGTATCCAGTGGTTTTGAAGTAGTTAAATTTCCACGGGTGCATCTCTTTGAATGTCAGATATTTTCTGCAGGCGGTTCATGTTGCAGCCCAGTATGGACAGACAGCATTCTTAAATCACATTGTTGCAAAGTATCATGCTGATTTCGATGTACCAGATAACGACGGAAGGAGCCCTCTTCATTGGTCTCTTAAAGATATTCCATCAATATTCATTTTTTTTTTCATTATAATTTGACTTGCATGTAGTTTTAATGCTATTGTGGAGCTCTATGAAGTCAGACTTTGGCAAAGTATGAGTAGTACTTGATTGTTGGATATATTATTAATAAATTTGCTGTCTTATTGGTCCAACTTCAATCTTGAAAAAATGCATGATGCTTAAGTGAGAGTGTGTTACTAGACGATGGACCATTGTTGTGGGATTTGTGATTAAATGCTGAACTTCAAATCAAATGTTGAACATTTCATATTGAAATCATGATGTACTTTTTTCCCATTCCCATTCCCTTTTTCTTTCTCCTATCATTTTTCTTGGAGTGCATTCTGCTTATAGGTTTATGAGGATGGAGCTTATGATTTTAAAATTGGGGCTTGGAATATTGTTATTGGTCTTTATTAATGGACTCTCAGGACATTATTTTCAATCTATGGGGTTGACATATTATTAAATGTTCATGTTTTGACCCTTTGTCTGGAACAGGCACAAGAAAAGAGAAAAATTTGAGCAAGACTACATAATTTCAAACTGAATGGGGGAAAACACTTGTAAAAGTGTTCTCTTCTCTCCAATGTACCCAATTCCATGCTTAGTGTTACAATGACATATATCTATATTCAGCTACTTTAGTAGTTTAGTTAATGATCACAGTGTCTCATTCTCTATAATTAGATGTGATTGATTTGGCGACATAGCACATTAGTTTTCATGGTTAAACTATTGACATGGAATCAGATTTAGACGCAGAATCAGGAATTTAAGGTAAAGCATGATGAATTAATGTAGATTAGCTTTTCCGTGGCAGCATAAGACACTTGAGTACTGGTTAATTCCAGCACATTAAGGCACTTTTTCTTGGATTCTCATGCATAATGCCTTTTTAGCCATTGTTCAACAGTGTTCGATGGTGATTCAATTGTTCGTCATGGCATTTGTATGTTTCTTCCTCTTCTTCTTCCTTTTCTAAACTTGGGTCATTGGCTCCATTTAAATTTTTTGTCCTCATGTGCGGTGTGTTTCCTTATTGAAGTTGAAACTGGAAACTCTCATATAAATGATTTAATAATTCTAATGGTTTTTTCAGATTAGATGATTTCATGACTTGAAGTTTTGGGGAATGGGCATTGATATGAGTTTGAATAGGAGTATTTTAAATTGATTATAACTTCTTAAAAGAAGAGCATGGTAGTAGAATTTTCCTTTAAAAGCAATAAATTATGTTCGACAAGCATTTGAATCACTCAAATTTAATCCTCTGGTGCTTCGTACTAGGGCTGCATACAATGGATTTACTGATACAATTAGATTACTTCTATTCAGAGATGCCTGCCAAGGGAGACAAGATAAACAAGGTATATTAATGTTGATTTCTGCATCCGTTGCGTCTTGGTCCTTGATATCTTTGATTTTTTGAAATTTCATATTCTCTATTAGACTGCAAATATCTAATTGCAAATAAAAATTGTGGGACAAAACTGGGCATGTGTTGAAGGAAAAAAATCAATCGCCAATAAATTCTACTCATGGTAAACTCATGCAGTTAAGTTTACCTACTGAGATGCTATATGGTTTACAGCATAGGGTGCAATCATACCAGTACAAATGCACCGAATCCCATCAGAATTCCGCAGTTAAGCGTGCTTGGGCGAGAGTAGTGTTAACTTTGATCAATCAAAGAAAAGTAAGAGGAAGAAAGATGAGAATATTATTGAGGCACAATTAGCCAGAACAAAACTTAAAGGAGAACTACATATAAGAGGTCTTTATATAGTAAATTAAGCTAGGGCAACATAAAAGAAAACAAATGACTAAACTACCCCTAAGTCTAAATATAATAATTATTCTAACACCCTCCCTCAAACTCATGATATGGTAACATCAAATATCAAGAGTTTGTGCAAAAGAAAACGGAAGCGTGCGATGGTGTGAGATTTCGTAAAGAAATGATCAGCAAGTAGCCAATACAATCAAACTATCTCTGCTGTTATGAAGGTCATAGTATGATACTCAGCTTCAGCAGATGATCGATCCACAACAGTTTGTTTCTTATTTTTCACGAAATATGACAATCACCAATGGAGAGACAGAAACCAGTAGTGGACTTGCGACCCATAGAGTCACCAGCCCAGTCCGCATCAGAATAAGTACGAAGTTCCAGAGACGATCAAATAGCAATGAGAGGTCCAACAGAAAACCAAAGCTCAACAAAAACCACCAGTAATAATGCTCAACAAAACAAATCCCAACAAAAAAAAAACAAACTAGAACTAGTCTCAAACCAGCAGTAGTCAAAATCAGAAACTAGAACCAAAAGAAGTAGCCAACGCCTAACAATCCAAAGTTCGCCACAAATCAACTTAACAACTTTGTAAATCAAATACTCACCCAACAGTTCGTTCACAAAATTAGCCCCAAAGGCTCAAACCCACCAATCAAAAGTAGAAACAAAAGTTTCCTGCTTAATCGGTGCGAAACAATGCAAATGGAAACAAAAGTTTCCTGCTACTTATTCAATGCGAAATAATGCAAATGGAAACAAAAGTTTCTTGCTTATTCAGTGCGAAACAATGCAACGCTATATCAAATAGCAAGCTTAAACGAACAAATCAAAAACCAACAACGTGACAACTAACCAATGCACAAAACCAATCAATCAACAAACTAGTCCAAAAGCCCAAAGCCACTGTAGCAAACGAAGAAGAAACAACCAGATTAACAATCAGAAGAAGCAGAAGAAGAAGAAGAAGAAGAAGAAGAAGAAGAAGAAGCAGTAGAAGAGAAGAGGCAGCAGCAAGTCAACAAAAATAACAATCCAAATAGCAGATCCCAACGTACCAACTTTACAAACCACACAACCCAATAATATATTCTTCCTCTAACTAAATTACTGTGGTGCTACAATATATATTTTGGATTGAAACTATGCTCCGATACCATGTTAACTTTGATCAATCAAAGAAAAGTAAGAGGAAAAAAGAAAAGAATATTATTGAGACACAGTTAGCCAGAACAAAACTTAAAGGAAAACTACATATAAGAGGTCTTTATATAGTAAACTAAGCTAGGGCAATATAAAAGAAAATAAATGACCAAACTACCCCTAAGTCTAAATATAATAACTATTCTAACAAGTAGTACTGGGTGACCCCCCGAGAAGTTCTCGTGTTGCACCCCTGTTAAAAGAAAAAAAAAATGGTTTACAGCATAGATTCATTATTCATTCAATAAAATTTGATATTTTGAGTTTTTAAAACAGAAAATAAATGATGGAGTCGTGTTTATTGTTAACAACATTATTTTATGGAACTCCGGTCAAACCAACCCCCCCCAAAAAAAAAATAAATAAATAAATAAATAAAAATTTAGAAAGCGAGAGAAACTCAATCATGTAAGACTGATTATTGGCTAGGCTGAGTTGAGCAGTGTTGTCAGTTCTGAGATCCCAAAAAAAATAATAGTCAGGAATTCATTACCTTGTACATATTGCTAGTGGTCTGATATATTTCTTGACTTGGGTTGTGTCCTATGTGTCCGTTTCTGCTTTTATTTTTTTCTTGATACAATCCTTTTTTGTCAGATGAATGTTTTACTTCCAATCTTTTTTTTTTTTTGGTGGTTTGGTTTTTTTTTTTTTTTTTTGGGTTAGGAGGGGGGGGGAGGGGGGGGGGGGGCTGGCCTTAGGGAGATTCTAGTAGAAAGGGACTGCTAAATGGCGTGGAAATGGAGAAAGTAGGCCAATATGTGGGAGACTTTGTCTCTTGCTGGCCTTAGATGGATTCAGAATGGCTATATGATTTACTGATCTATCTACTTTTGTACACGCTGCTGCTATCCCACTTACCATGTTATTTTTTAAAAGACAAATCGAAGCAAGTCAAACTTGAAAGCTTCAATAGGATTAAAGTTTTCTTGAGTTATCCAACTAAATTGAGAATCTGTGAATAACTTACAGTTCGGCATTTTTGTTGGGCATTGTCTAATCTTAGATGTTTTAGGTTGTACTCCTCTGCATTGGGCTGCATTAAGTGGAAACGTGGAGGCATGCACTGTTCTTGCACATACAAGCACGAAGCAGGAATTGATGCTGAAAGATAATGCTGGATTTACTCCTGCACAGCTTGCATCTGATAAAGGTCATCGACATGTCGCTTTTTTCCTTGTAAGTAACTTTGTATTGATGTTACCTTTGGCAGGGTGTATTAATATGATCTTGTCCAAACCAAGACTTGAATTCAAGAATTCTAAGGATGTGAGTTTTATTAGTAAAAATGTTATCATCCGAAAGATGTTTGTTTCTAGATGTCATCTTATTGCCCGTGGCATCATCAATAAGTGGCTGTGTTGTTGAATCTCTGGGTTCTTCACATAAGAAAAAGTTGTGCTTCCTTATATTGATCGTGTTTCTTCCTTTTCACGATTTTAGAGGAGAATAGCTACACATACAGGCACCATTTGTTTCTTGTTTTTCTTTGAATATAACCTTACACCTGTGGATGTTTTCCCACAAATCCTAAGTTTTCAAGTTGCATTTTCAAAGGGACCATTGCTGTGTGGAAATTTTAGATGCGTAGCAAAACCTTAATGAAAATTGGGGGCCTCAAACTAAAAAAGGCCATGGAATTTCAGGAAGGGAGCATAAGATATGTAAAGAAGGATGTCTTGGCGAATAAATAGAGGATTTTGGATCTTTCCTCATTTTTTTCAATTTTTTGGGCCATGTACAAATGGTTTAAGATTACAATTCTCTTAGAAAACAGATAAACCAACTTAATGCACGAAGATTGAGTTTAGAGAAGAGCAAAATTTCCTAATCTAAATTATGACATTTTATACTTTCAGAATTTAGTTAAGATCGAAAATAAATTATCAAATAGTATCCTGTGTACGGTAGAGGTCGGATTGGGAGTGATGGCAGGTGCTCATCCACTCGAGATATGTTGCGAGTTTGAGTTTGGAAATCTTCCTGTCTAGAGTGAGGGTATGATTGAGTTCTAGGTGAGAATCTTGTGTACAAGGAATGGCCTTTAACATGCCGTGTATGATTTATGAATTGAAGTCATTATTGAGTTGAATGAATGAGCAATGCTACATGGTTAGGTTGGCGTTTGACAAGGTAAAAGTATATTCAAATGGTCTTGTGGAACTTATGAACGATGTAGTGGTTCTATAATTTTGTAACATTCCTTAAAAATAGGATTGTCATGATCAAACTTGAAAGATGGAGGTGTTGATTATGATGGTGGCAGCCATGGAGTGGAGCTGAGGGTGGGTGTTGGTCGTGGCAGTGTGATAAAAGGGTGGTGGGAAGGCTGTCGGCAGTGCAATAATTACTGGCAGGGACCATGGTGCCTTTTGTGATATTTACATTGACAACTGTTGTCGTATTGGCTGTTATGGAATTATTCATTGTAAAGGTGGTCTCTTCATTGATAACTATTGTGGTATTGCCTGTTGTGGATAGATCTCTTCAGATGCAATGGTGGTTTGATAGTGAGTGGGAATGGAAGCAAAAGTTGTAGTAGGCAAAAGTGATCGGGTGTAGGCATTCGCTAATTTGATCTGAAATACCTATGAAAAACTTTGGAAAGTGTACATGTCAACTAAATGATTCCAAATCACTAATCCAGATGGTAGTCATTGCTTATGCCAAGTTGCCAACTGCATCGCATGTAGGACAAACTTTGTTGTAGTGGTGAATGGTGATCTCAGAACTTTGTGTTTTTGTGCAAAGATTTATTCAGACTTCAAAATTAGTTGCAACTTTAAACTCTATTATAATCACTTTATGATCCTCCCCGCCTTGGTTGCAATATGGATCTTCGCCATCATTGATGAGATGCCAACATAACATAGAATGATTTGTCTGATGCAGTCAAATGCATTGCGTGCACACAGCAAGCACTGGGGGGACAAAGTTTGCATTGGGAAAGTTGGGGATATTGGTTATGCCCCTATTCTGTTCTGTATAGTATTTTTTAACACCATCCTCTTCATCAATTCAGTCCTTTTTGGTGCGTAAAGCTACAATTCATTACAAATTCTTTCATCCTTGAAGGGGCATAGTAACTATACTAAATTTGACTTTATACTTGTGCTAGCTCCCAATCTTACTAAGGTCACTGCTATTGTTGGACTTTGGGGATGGACTGCTGTGTCTCTATCAGTTGGTTCGCTGATAATGTTCGTCCGTTGCAGCAGGTTATACAACTTTTGCTGTCAGTCATTGACATGTCAATGTTTAAGACAGCTCTATCACATAAATTTATGCTTGTTCATATTTATTTTGTTCTCTTCTTTTGAACCTGTTCTCTATCAAACCCGATATATGCATTTCATTAATGGAAGAATTACCTTATCTCAGTCTTAATTGTGACTCTGCATGGTGAATAGAAAATTGAAACATCTTTGTGGTGATGCTGTAGTTGTCAGTACTACTAGTCAGGTATTATTGTTTTCCATGATATAAAAAGATCTACGATCTCTGTCCATGGCAGTGTATCATGGTTAAGACAATTCAGTTCGTGTTCTTTTGTTCATTTCCCAAATTTGCATCAAACTTTAAGTAGGAAATTGATTACTAGATGCACAAATGCAAGAGTAATGTTTACAAATGCTTCTTGACTCAGCGAAAACTAGTTGCTGTCATATGGCCTGAACTTTAAGCTTAGTAGATTTATTTCGTTGCGTAAGTGGTAGTTCCAACCTAATCCCCAACTATTGGACAGGGCCCTGTTTTCCAATGTGCTACTAAACAATTACAGGGCTTATTTGAAGGAATAGCTTTGTTATTATTCATGATATACCCTTGTTACTGGAGTTGTGGTTATTATGTAAAATGTATCCTCCTACAGTTTGCTTCTTCTCGTTTTCTCTTGAAGTGACTGATGGTGATCTCTCATTTGTTGCAGTAAAGATCCTGGTTATATAAAAGCAAGGATGGGTAATCATACTGATGCTGAGGTATCTGATATCTTATGTATTATTGGTTCCATGACAATTCTTAGAGTTTATTAAAAAAGCGTTCAGCTTTTGGCAACTCAAGTTTCTAGCTCTCTTGCTTGTTTTTAAATGATTTCACATATGAACCTCCATATATCTTAACGAGTAAATTCATCACAACTTTCAAAACCTTTATTGTTACTCCTTTAGGGTTGGTTTCATGAATCATTTTTGCCATTTTGCTTTATCCAAAATGTTATGATCATTGCATTCAAGATAGAGCATATTCGGTTTAGATTCTCTGGCCATGGCAATGAAGAGTGATGGGTACTTTCACTTGACTGTTTTTTTACAATTGCTTAAGACCTCGATGTGCACCAGTCGACTTATTGTCTTGGTTATGGATCAGCATAGGCAGTTATGACACTCAAAGCTGTTGTGGTACGAAAATTAAACGAGCTTAAGATCGTAAAATCTTAGCATTTTAACGTTGCACTAATTAGTATCTCCTAAAAGGGCTTCTATTACACAATTTATAATTGGTTTTTGATTGCTGTAGCCTATGAGAGTTGGCCTTCTTTTGCATTTTAAATGAGAGAATGCTAGTCCAAATTTATTTGAGAGTAAAAGAAAGTATAATTGCAATAGTTTAACTGGTTGCTCCTTATGATTTGAAATGGAATTGCCTTGATTTTTATCTGTATAACGGCACTGTACTCCCATCTGTATTTGATGTGTGCCCAGCCTTAACTTTTCTTGCTTTTGGTGTCTAAAGTAATCTTTTTTTACTTCTCTCATGTTGCTATTCTTGCCTCCACCTGTCTTGAGAAGGTTTTCATTCATTTTACAGGATCCTTTGTTGAATATTGATCTGAAGAATTCCTCTACTTGGACGGGGAATTGGTCTCAACTTTGCCCTACCTGCAAGGTTTCATTGGGAATTTCTTTGTCTTTCAAATTTGCAGTGGGTCATTTATATGAAATGTTCTGTAGCTGCCTTCTTGATGCATGTAATGCTTGAGATACTGATCCTGTAAAAGTTTTATCTGCTTTCTCTTTTTTGTTTCCAGATAATAAGACCAGTTCGCTCCAAACACTGCCCTATATGCAAGCACTGTGTGGAACAGTTTGACCATCACTGTCCCTGGATCTCAAATTGTGTGGGCAAGGTATGAAATAATATGACTATTTCTAAATTAGTATCATGACAATTCAGAGCATCAATTAGTAGATATATGGGAGACCGTGACTCTGATTTGCCAATCCGTTTTCCCTGATGATTCACTTTGCCTCAATCTGCGCTGCCACTTTCCATTTACTCTTTATGTTAGGTCACAGACCTTGATGAATAGCATTGATTATTCTTTGGCATGACCACTTCCTTGAAATCACTCCCCATAAAAGCTTTGCATTGGAGGTTGATTTCTATTCTTGCATGCTTCTCTTTTCTTTTCCTTGATTTTGGTCTTTTTGTGACATGTCTTAATTGATACTAATAATGATAACACTGGTGAAAGAAATATCTTTGTCCATTTTCTGAATCTGTATAATTGATATATTTTCACTTGAGTCATTTCATATTAGTTGTGTCTTCATTTTAATTAGGTGTGAATCACATATACAGTTTTTGACAGTGTGCTACGAGAGATATCTGATAGGCATATGATATGAGCATAAATAATATCTGGTGCTTTTGATCCCAGCATATATTTAGCAACTATTCTTCCCCCTTCCTCCCCTTGGGGTCCCCGGTTGCTATTCTTTTACACTCTGTCACTGTGGATTCTTTGTTGTCATCTATGCATTTTGCAGAGGAATAAGTGGGACTTCTTTGTTTTTCTCTGCATGGGAACGTTGACATCATTCCTCGGTGGTGGTGTTGCAGTTCATAGTATGCGAGAGCAATAAGTTCCAGTACCTTATCATTTTGTTGTATAATATCATACCATCTCAGAGTAGATTACCGATTGTATACGGTATGACAGGGATTTGGACATCAGTACCAGCATTGCGAGATGAAGAAACATGGATTCATCATGTGGTTGTTGAACATCCTGGCGTAGTTGCTTTTCTGGTTATGGACGCACTTATTTTCATTGCTGTTATAACTTTGATGGCAGCACAAGCATTCCAGGTTAGGGAACGTGGTTTCTTATTTTTTAGATTTCTTTACTGATGTTTATAATGTGTTTCTTTTTGGTAAGTGATGCATAAAATATGTTCGTAGTGAATGTGTTGTGTCTTTTGAGGGTAACTAGAAAAGCAGACATGGGGCTACATTGCCAACTACACTCTGGAAATCTAATGCAAGACTCATAAGTGAATCTGTTCCAATAAATTCATGCATATATCTCAAAACTTTTTTAAACTTGTTTTGCTGATTTCCTCAGGATCCTGAATTGCTCCTGTTTATTTTTATGTGTGGGTATTGTGAAGTCATAACAGCTGTACGAGTCAATTGCCCTGGTTTGTTTAACTGTTAATTAATGGACAGTTGACGTAGGGATAGCGATTGGGCAGGTATGGTGCCCCTATCCCTATGGTATCCTTCCTGCCAGACAAGACCCTGCCCCTGCCCCATACCTGTTATGGGGTTTTGATTTCTTACCTTTTCCCTGAACTCGAGAACCTTCTCAATCCCCATCCTGTCTCCCTGTGGCCTGGTGAAGATCAAGCAAATCTGGAAAGAAGTATGCTTACCATATATCAGCGCATTATTGCAAGTTCGACTGAGAAAAAGCCCAACAAATCAGAGAAAATCAAGACAAAGAAGGGCTAGTAATATTTATATCACAGCTACTAAGCACGGAAAGGGAAGTAGAAAAGGGTAAGAGATAGAGAGTGATTGTTCGCTGTTAATGATAGTATAGTTGACTACCAAGCTCCAGTAAAATTGATATGTGAACAGAGTGGTTTATAATGCACAGCACTGTGAGTGGGGGGCTGTATGTGGAAGGACGAGAATAGAAGGCCCCATACCTATTCTCATATGTATTAATAGCACAGAGGAAATTCTGCATAGAAGTATGGCTTCTAAGCAATATCGGCATATAAAGGGGGCAGGGGGATGGGATTGTTTGTACAGAACCCCACCCTGAACCCTTTCATCTCTAATCATATACCACCTCTGCGGCAATCTAGGTCTCCCCAAACCTGTCCCATTAGGGATTGCATGGTGCAAGTTATCCTGATTCTCAGGTTGAATGTCATCCCTAAGAATCAGCTTAGCGTGCTTCCTCCAGTGCTCCGGATGGTGAGCTTTTATGATGTACCTGTGGTCACTTATATTCATAAAGTCAATTTTGTTGCATCTAACCACAAGGGATGATATTTATATATAGGAGTGGATTGTATCATTGTAGAAGTGGTCAGTCAAGCACTTTAGTGATGCTCAAATGCTCTGGAGTCTGCTTTACTCACTTACTCTGATGTTCTTATATGCTCTTCGTGAACTCTACTTTTAGTTATTGCATTTCTGAAATCAATAGCTAAAATCCACTCAAAAATTCCAGACAATGCTTGTGGTCGAATTTGTCTCTGCTGTTCTCCTTGAATGAGAAGTTTGTGCTTTCTGTTTGCAGATTTCCCGGAACATTACCACTAATGAATTTGCAAATTCTGCACGGTATGGTTATCTTTTTGGTCCAGATGGGCGTTTCCGCAACCCATATAACCATGGGTGCCGAAAGAATTGTGCGGATTTCCTGATCCATGGCTACACAGATGACAATGAGATTGCTTGGCCTCCTTTACAGCAGGTTGCCAGGTAGTCGTATATGTCACGGTATGCAATTGTACTACTGTTCTTCCTCTGTTGTCGGGTGATTCTGAAACCCTTCCTCTCAGTTACAAATATTGGTCATACCTCACCACAGGCCCCACAGCTGTCGCTATATTCACCCTTACTCATTTTCCGGAAAAACAGAAACTCGATTTCATTACCTGTCTCTGTACATTTCAATACCATAAAATCATAGAGAAACTATATTCCTGTAACACGTTCTCTTATCAATTCCATATGGCATATGGGGTTCTGTAATCTTCCCACCTGCTGTTTACTTGGTTTAAACGGAAAATGGATTCTAAATCCTAATACCGGTAAACTTGAGGAACTTTGCAACAGGGCCAATAGATACAAACTCTACAATATAATTGGGTTGTTGGTAGGGTGCGCTCCGACTCCAATGAAGTCAGAAGGCATATATCCGATCTCCAACTCCGACTTCAGTCAGAGTGAATTTTCCGTTTAAACCAAGTAAACAGCAGGTGTTGCACACCCTAGTTGTTGCCTCAAGTAGATTTGAAAACCACCTTTCTTAAAGACATCAACATTAATGGTTTGATTGTTCATTAGCAACAAGTTATTTGTGCTTGATATCATTGACAGAGTTTGGGTCGCGATATTTTTGCTGCTATCTGAGACCTTTTACTGCTGCTTAATGGTATTGCAATTCTATCATGTTTTCCCGACTTTGACAAATCCAGATACGCCTGTTCATTCGAATATTGAATTTCAAAGTATTTTGATAGCTGCAGAGTAGAAAAGAAGGGGGAAGGGGGAGGTAGAGTGGGTTGAGCCACTGGAATACAATGAGATAAGAATCTCTGAAGATCTTTCCTCTCCACTTTACCCGTAACACGTTTTCCCTCTGTAAAAGACTTCTTTCCAATGGCATAATTTTCCGATTTTTTCCTCGATCCTTGAAAAAAATTGACTCCTCTTTTCATCAATTCTATGTGCAAAACAAAAGCGTCTAGCTATAGGAGTCACTCGAAATATGTTTTTTTAAGTGAATTTTCCGTCGTATGACCTTTTGCATGTGCCTCTCTCTTTGTAGAGAAGGCTTAGACAGTCCATTCATTCTGTTGGAATCTTTTCACCTTGGTGTGTCTGAATTGTAAGAAAAAATTGGAGTAGTTCTCTATGGAAGAGTTATTTAAAGTTGTGGAACCTTTTATTCACGCAAGTTGGATTCCAATCTGCTTTTGATGTTCAGAATCAGGAGGAATTGGCTCCTCGACAGAAATTAACAGCCCTCTGATAAATATAGATACAACCTTAATAAGGATAATATCCAGAGAAACACAAGTAACTTTCGATGAATATGGAACAAACCAACAGAGAGAGAGAGAGGGAAGTCACAAAGTCGAACGAGCGAAGGGCCTCGGAATAGGCAGATAACATCGTCGTCAACTTCGTTGAATTCCAGTGGGCCATGTCTGATTCTTCACAGGTTTCAATATATCTTCAATCTCAGCCAGAGCTATCTCATCCGTCCCTGCTGTAGATAATTCTATAGCAGCTGCCACATTTTCCTCAACCTGATTATCCGAAACACTATGCATTATGACACTGCTAAACCACTATACTTCACCATTAATGTGGTCTTTCCCAAACATATTATAAAAGCATTTGTGTCACAGGACGTGAAAACAAACATTTATGGCATGTCAAGTGAGTACTAATATATATGAAGTGAGGGCACGCAGGGTTTACGATACAAACATGGTAGGTGGTAAAAAAAGTAGGACACAAACACGTTAACAAAAGAAATTATTGATTATATTTCATTTTGTGTAGTTTGTTCATGTGCATGTTAAGTGTAACACAAAATACAACAATCATATCTTACAGATAACTAAAGCATAATCTCTATTATGATTTACTAAAAATAACCAACTTATATACAATTATTCTATTTCAGAGTCCAAAAATCTAAATTTCATATTCTAAACTTGCACCCACAACTTAAATTTACCTTGTAATAAAATCTGGTATGACAAGAATTGGGAGGGGTAAGGATTCAAAGGAAAACGAGTGCACATAAGTATCATGTTATGGAGAAAAGACTGCAGACACTTTCACTACCTCAGCAATTGAGAAAATATTGAACCTTCAAGTAGGGCTGATATTCGAGCCAAGCTACGAGCTTGATTTGGTTCGAATTCAACTCATATAGGACTTGTCTCGAGTTCTAAATGAGCCGAGCTTGAGTAAATTTTTTAGGCTCATTTTGTTAGACTCGAACACGCAACGCTTGGCTCATTTATATGTAAAATAGTCGAACTACTCAGACTCGACTTATTTTGCGGCTACTCGGACTTGACTAGTTTTCTAAACAAGTCAAATTTGAACAAATTTTTAAGCTCGTTTAGAAAAACGAGTTTGACATACTCGGCTCAAACTCGTTACGAGACTCGATTATCACTCCTACCTTTAAGTCCGGTGTTTGAGTAATTATAATATTTCTGTATCCACATACATGTTCTTTAATTAAATTTTTTATCATGTTTTCCCATTTTCACACTAGGCATAAATAAAATTTCTCTTATTATCAAACAAAATGAGAAAAGAGACAAGTATATATGATATGATTAAAAACATTCTTGAAAGCAATGAAACATATTGCCATTGAAGTAAAACAGGATTGAGTTAGCAAATGACCTAGTTTCAATGTTCCATTAAAACAAGTTCTATATAAGAGTTCGTGGGGCAAAGATCAAAATTTCATTTTGAAACGGTCAAAACATTTCTATTTCCGAGGATGCCGAAATGAATCGGTGATGGAATCGAAACTCCAATGTTTCAAGGTATTTCAAAAAAAATTTAGTTATTTTGAGATGTTTCGACATGTTTTCACCATTATTTGAGCATGTTTTAATATGCTTTCATATATTTAGACCAATATTTCAAAATATTTTGAAAGTATACCTTCAAATTTTTCATTTGTTTTCAGTCTGTTTGCAGAACGTTTTCGAAACATTGCCTAAAGGTTTCCGTTTCCTAGGTAACCGAAACAATGCACCGAAACCAAATTTCAATCCTTACTATGGGGCAATATAATATTTTATATATTGAACCAAACAGTAGCAATCAAGGCAAACGTTGAAGTATAACCTGTCTAACAGAGTTCATTCCGACCAGTACAGAAGAGATGTCTTTATTCGATAAACTGTATTGCATAGACAACTTCGATATATTCTTCCCCTTCTCTTTACAGTAAGCAGCAGCAGCTTGGCACGCAGCCTGAGGGCAAAAACATGAAGAGGTAATACAAATGAATTTAAATTTAAAATCACACTAAGCACCTTTTCTGCAGTCTAGTAGGCTATGGAAGATATCGAGTTTTACAAGTTATACATATGTTTGACATTAGCAGATATTCTGTTTACTTTCCCTTTCACTACGCGATATATTGATGGACTTGATTCATGATCCAACTTGGAATGCTGCATAAGAAACCAAAGCTGTTCAAATCTATGGAAGCATTGGTTTATACATTCCTCTTGGTCTCGACTCTAGGGATTTTCTGGTCTTTTGGCCTGTAAACAAAATTCATAGGCACCTCATAATGTTCAATTCTTTCTTCTGTTATTTAGCGGATATGCTGGTCCCATGTCCTTTAAGTACACCTTGTGTCAAGGCACACTTATTTCAACTGCTCTACTTGGAATTGATCTCTAAGCTATGAACTTTTTGACCATAAGCTAATTTCACTCATTTTATCATTGCCAAGCATTGGCTAGCCCAAAAAATAATAATAATAATAGAAATTTTCCTGCCCACTTCCACATTCCAAACTAGAATCACCAGTAACAGGTGTCTTGTGCCAATCCATTCCATTATGTCATAACAATCGGGAGTTCTCATGTGTTTGCTCCTTCACTTTTTAATTTAGTGGGACTCGGAAATAGTAATAATTTCAGTAGATATCGTGAAATAACTACCAACCAGGGAATAATAACTAGTATAGGGTGGTGACGATGGGCATGGAGTGTGCCCAACACTCTGCTAACATAATTAATATATCAATATACTAAGGCTCGACTTGTGTAGTAATGCAAAGAGTAATAAGAAAGATAACATTTCAGATTATAAAAGGAAATAATACCTTGAGTTCAGGTGAAGCTGGGTGCCACTCTGGTGGGCCACATTCCGTAAGAAGTCCCATTGAAAGTGGAGAAGCACTGATCACACCAACACCCTTGCTCTTCAAATAAGGCAGAAGATCCTCCAATGTTGAGTCATTAACACTGTAGTGACAATATGACAGGATTACATCAACTGTACCTGGTGGCACCCGATCGAGCACATATGTAAAAACACCCAAGGGAAGTCCTGTTATGCCAATAAACCGGATCTTTCCTGCTTCCTTTAATTTCTGAAGAGCAGGGATTGTCTCATTCACTATCTGCTCAGTGGAGAAACAAAACAAAACAAAACCAACCCAAGCTTCACTGTCACGTTTTCAAAAGCATACTAGATTGCAGACAAGAATGCAATACTAGAGATAGACAGAATTCTTGTTCAAATGAGAAAAAAAAAACTAGCTACCCTGTGTAACACAGATCAAGTGATCCCAATTCACAAAATGAAATCTATAAATAAAAAACAAAGAAGGGCCCAATCAACAAAAGAAGCAAATACACAAATAAAAACTGAGAACAGCCAAATCAAGACACCCATTTTTCAAACATAGAGGAAATTCATGAAGACACCCAAATCTATAAAAACTAACAATACCCACTGTGACAAATGACAACTGATCAAAAGCCCCAATTACAGAACAAAGAACAGCTAGTAGAACACAATATAATACACGATTAAGATACTTGATTCAAACAAAATTGGTAGCCCAATTCAAGATCAAATCCGAAGTATTTCAAATTCAACTACAAGTCTGAGAGCAAACTCAAATGAGAACCTGATCAAGAGACCCAAATTCAATATCATGGCATTGCAATATATCAACATAATTCAGCTGCAACCTCTCCAAGCTCTCATCAATGCTCCTAGTCACTCTCTCGGCACTGAAATCAAAACCCTCGATGTATCTCCCACACTTGGTCGACACAATGTACTCATTTCTCGGCACTCCAAGAGCTTTCAATGCCTTCCCAAGCACTTTCTCCGACAATGTCCCTCCATAATACCTAAGACCCATTAACCCAAAACAAGAATCATAAGAAACCCAAAATCTAAAACATCAAAAAACTTCATAAAATCAATGAAATCACTATTTCAAAACCAAATTTCTTTGGAAAAAAGTCTACGGGGAGGTGTCGAAGAAGTTGATGCCGAGGCGAAAGGCCTCGCGGACGCAGGCGCTGGCGTCTTGTTCGGAGATTGGGCCGAAGACGTTGCCGAGAGGGGAGGCGCCGAAGCCGACACAGCTGAGCTTGAGGCCTGTGTTGCCAAGGGGTCGGAGCTCTAGGGTGGTTGTCATCGAGTCTTGTTTCTAGGGAATTTGTTCTTCTGAGAGGTGAGAGGTAAGAGAGGAGAGAGAGAAATGGGTTTTCCCAGGAAAGAGTAACTGTCTTCTGGAAAATAATTTCCGGCTAATTAACGGCCACTTGAGGGAAGGCCGTACGGTGGTGCCGGGTTGGGTGAGGTCATACGGCTATTTGGACAATTGGGCCAACTTGGCCTTCTCCATTGAATTATTTTCTTGCTTGTTGGGTCTCTTTTTTCTTTTTTTTTGGGTAACAGGTGGGAAAGGGTTGCTTTGATTACTATTTCGAGCTCAATAATTGGTTAGTCGTTGTAATTTGAGTTGATTTAGAATATATTTCTAAAGCGATAAGGGTGACTATGAGATGAGTCTTATTGTTAGGGGTGTTTAAATTTTTAATTACTCGTAAATTTCGATTCTACCCGACTTTATTAATCGGCTACTCGAAAGAATCGGGTAGGCCAACAAAAGATTTTTTGCTATTCCGCAAAAAATTGGACAGTAATGAGGAATACCAAGAAAATTTTCATATTCCTACCCTACCCTATATATATATAAACCAATAATATAAAAAAAATTCAATAAATTCGATAATACATAAACAATTAAATTAGTGCAAGTTACTTAGTTAAATTGTTGAAATGATGGAAAAATTAATAACTAAAAAATATGTGTTCATTTAATTTTTTATTTGATTATTTTGAACAGAATTCGGATAAGAATAATACACTTAATAGGGTAAACTAGATAAAAAAAAAAATTACAAAAATATCAGATAAGAAGATAAAAATACCATAATTTTTACATATAGAGTAGAGTAAGGTGAATACCTTGTTCATTGTCACGAGATTTTTGGTAATCTGTCATGGTTCTTGTTTCCAGTAAGTCCATCAAGCACGATGTTAAGTTTTGGGCTAAACTTGCTACTCTCGAGAAGTTTGTTCCATCCCAGCTCGACCCAGCTGTTGAAGAGCCCTTTTTGCTACTAAGCCATTTTCGCTTTATGGATGTCCATTTTTTTTTTCTTTTTTTATGCTCATCATTTATTATTTTTTAACTTTTTTTTTTATTTTTTTGGGAGGGAGGGGGAAGGGGGACTTGAACCCTTAACCTCACAAGAAGGTAAAGACTTCACAAGACAAGAAGTACCATTGGACCAAACATCCATTGATTTATGCTCATCATTTATACTCACCTTTGCAGCTCCTATTGAGATGGCCTTAAGCAAAAGTTCTCTAAAAATGGTATGGGGGCAAAGAAGAGTAAGTGAAAAAATAAAAGGGTGGTGAAATCCTCCAAGCGGTTCAGACGCTTCGTAAAGGGCCCTAAAAAAGCCTGAGGTTGGAACTCTAATTGCGATTGTTAGAGTGTCAGATCCCCCACTTATTGAAAAAGTGTCATCCGACAGGGCTGTCCATCTTGACAGTTCTGTTGATACCGAGAAGGATCCATCTTTAAATCGGCCAAAAGCAATCAGAGTTTTCTGAGGCTGAGGCTGAGGCTAGGTTGGCTAAGGCAATCTAGGTTGCTGAAAAGGCCAAGGCCGAAAAGATTAAGCCACTACTAAAAAAACAGACCAAAGAGGAAACAATTCTTGTGAGGGAGTGGCTGGGGAGGCCACCAAGAAGTGCTCAAACTTGGAGGGCCATCTGCGTACAAGTGTTGATCAAATTGTGAAGAAGTTCCGGAGTTTGATTGGTATAAAAATGATGTATCGGAATGAAAAGTCTTTGCATAGTCAAAGTTAGAACGCAAAAAAATCAGTAATATACGCAGTCAAATGTACTTGGAGAGCTTAGTGGATGTTAGTTATTGAGGCAATGTGAAACTAATAATTATACAATAGTCAAAGATATAACACGAAATACATGATAGTTGAACATATAATATTAAAAATGGGTCATAGTTGGCAGGGTTAATGTATAATTTGTCCTTGGCAAATACAGGAAGCACCTCGTCAGGGTTGAAGAAGGTTGTCGTATGTATGCTTCTTTAATGTATGTTCAAAAGGAGAAGGGGTGATCAAAATTTTCAGAGATTGGCAATTGTTGGAGATGCATTCCTAATTTGCATACAGCCAGCCTGTATATGTTGTTATCAGAATGATCCACTTGTATTTTTAAACAGCTAAAGATTCAGATTCTCAGCATCTAATCTTGTGAAATAATTGAGAATCTTCAACACCAATTTTCAGAACCTTATGGTTCAATAACACTACAAAAAAAACAATTTATTCAGTGTCATACTGAAATATGATCCTAAACGGTTAATCTTGATTTGAAATATTTGTAATTCTTGATCATTAGAATGATAAAATAATAAGGATAGCAATTATGATCCTAAAAAAAAAACTTTGTAATACCAAAAGTAATTTATTCTAAAAGTCAAGTTATACTTTTTTGAAGGTTAATTGCATTAAAAATCTTTAAAGTGTAGGGTTTGTCTTATTTTAATCCTCAATATTTTAATTGCATCATTTTGGTCCCTAAAATATTAAATATATTTCTAAGTGGTCCCTCAACTAGATAACATCTAAATTGTTAATAATTTTTTTATCATAAACTTATCACGTGATACATAAATATAGGTAAAAAATAATTTTTATAGCTCTTGACCAAAATTTGAATAACTTTTGACAAAAAATGTGTAATGCGGGTATCTTTTGAATAAAATTTGTATAATTTATGATCAAAATTGTAAAATTTAAGTAATTCTTTGACCGAAATTTGGGTAGAAATCTGGTCAAGGATTATCCATTAACTACTATGTAACAAATTTATAATAAAAAATTTTAGTAATTTAAATATTGTTTGTTTGAGAGACCATGTAAAAACATATTCAATACTTCAAGGACCAGAATAATGTAATTAAAATATTGTGGATTAAAATGAGACAAACCACTTACTTTGAGGACCTCCAATACAATTAATCCTATTTTTTTAAAGGTGAAGTCATCCCTGATTGATATTATCCATAATCGATAATGAAATGTTGTGATCGAATATTAATAACCTCAATCGATTATAACTTAACTTGTATCATTTGTAACTTCATTTGTAAAAAAATATAACTTTGACCTTACAAATTATAATTTTTATGATCGACTATAATATTTTGTGATTGATCATTATCTTTGCAATAATAATTTACAATAAAAAAAATTATAGCTTTCATTATAATACCTCAGCCGATACTGCAATATTCTTCAAATAATATACATTTTTTACATGTTACCTTGGAATTGGATAAGAATAAAAAAGACACGGTACTAAAAAATTATTTTTCGATCCGACATTATCCTATAATTGTGTTTCAACGTTGATTACCTAAAAAGTGCGGTTTGACTTTGTAAAAAGGACTTATCACAACTTTATTTCCTGACTGTCACTCAGTCGGTGGTGGAGCTAATGGAAGTTTGATCTGTATCTGCTGGCATGGCCTCAAAACTGTCTGATTTCACCGACATAAATAAGCGTGTACTTATAGTTGCTTATGCAAATATAGAATTGCCGTGGCCATTGTTATATTACGCGTAAATAGGTGAGTTCGGCCATAAGTTTAATTAGTCAATGAGAACCCGTCTCGAAGGAAGGTTCGGGAGATTCAAGCATTCAACACCATAACTTATGCAAATAAAGAATTAATGTGGGCATCAGTTTCTCGTACGTCAATGACGGGACTCTAGGCGACTAAACATTCTCCATATCGTCACGTGAAGAGATGTAACTGTTATGAAATTCAAAGGGCGCCGAGAGGTGGCACCAAAGAGTAATGACTCAAAAGAGACGAGTACACGTACTGAAACCAGCATTTAAGAAGACATGACAACTCATTAATGAAGACATAAGTGATTGTGACAGGTTATTAATGTGACTGTAGCAGGGTTATAAATGAGTCCCTGCATTCTCAACACTCAAACTAACAATCATGATTTAAAAATATTAATGGTTATGGTGCTAAGTATATCCCCTCAGCATATCCCAAGGATATTGTTTTTTGAGCATTGAATACTCAGGAGTATATGTCAGGCATCGATCAAAAGACTTAAATGACCGGTGATAGAGTCATGAGTGCTCGGCATATCCCAAATAGTTACCTTATCGCCCGAGTTGACTAGGCGTGAAGATCTGAGTGACAAACACTCATTACGCGTGGGTAAGAGCTTAAGTCATTAAATGTTAAAATGAGACTCTAAGCCTTTGCACTAATTATTAATCTAGGTATAAATATTCTCCAGAGAGATGAAAAAAAGGTACGCAAGACTAAACCGAAAAGAGGAAACACTGTGCTAAAATCTCTAAATTTATATTGATTTAAATTTCGGAGGAGATAAGTTGGGTATTCACCTAACCGCTTTTACGACCTTTTGGTTGTTTCATGTTCATCATCGTGAGAATTACTATCTCTATTTATTGTAGAAAATCTCCCGTGCAATTGATATAGAGAAAAAAAATATAGTGTACGAAATTCTCATTATTGCAAGTTATGAAGAAGATCAGATATATAACTCAGACTTGTAACATTCGGATCAGAGCAAACCTACAAAATTCATTCTAGTTTAGAAGTCCATGTGATTGTCATGTAAAATGCAACTTGTTTCTAAGTGTTGTAAATAATATACACACATGTATTGGAGTTTTTTTTTTTTTTTTTTTTTTTCTTTGGGCATTCTTGTCCTTTATTGGTTTGGTGTTTGAATAAAATAACGATTAGGGTGTCAAAATATTTCACGATTCGTTAATACGACACAAACACGACACATAATCAAAGAGTTTGAATCTTTCTTATGCCACTTATTTTGTAAATGAGTTGACATAACACCATTAATAAATGAATCGAGTATGAATAAATTTAATCAAAAAAAGTATATGACACAACTTGTTTATATACCAACTATACATAATTTATAAACGATACAAGCCCGATATAATACGACTCATTAGACATATCCGTTAAGACCTCACGAATCCGCGTATAATACTACGTGTACCAAATAATTATGGACAGCTGTTGGATGACAGTGAATCCTACTAATCGAACACATGAAAGTCATTCAGTAAACATAACATTTCCGTCACGTCTCTATCATACATCCGCAAACTATGGAAGACAATATTTGTGAATTTGACATTCCGGGGTTCAGTATGGGAAGTTTACAGACAGGCCAAAAAACAGCCTGGGATGTTGGTGGAAGTTTTCCACTTTCAACCTTAGAATTCAACGACTAGTAGGAGACAATAAGTCAGACTTGTTAATTGTAGCATTTCGTCAGCTTGAAAGGTACCCACTGAGGTTTGATTAGCAATTTTTTATGTTCAATAATAGTGATATAACAGATACTCAAATCTCGATGACTAGTTCATTTTACCAACCCTTGAGGAGAGAGATTATTCGGATTAAATCGAGTAAATTACGTTTACACTCTCTAAATTATTACTCTTTTATTTATTTTGCCCTTTTATCTATCAAATTTTTCATATTATATTATCAACTAACACTTTTGTTTCACATTGTTCCAATCACAAATATATGTTATATTTTTTGACAAAAATTGCTGAAGTATCAGCATAAAGTGAAAAAAATTACATAGTTTGAGGAGCAAAATGAAATAACTTTTTGTTAAATATGTAACAGATATTAATAAGTGGGGTAATGTGAAATTAATGACATAGTTGAAGGCGTAATGTGATAAATTTGATAGTTGACGGAACAAAATAGAAGAAAGATGATAATTCAGGAGTTTAAGTGTAATTTACCCAAATTAAACCACTTTAAAGCTATAAAGGCTAGGCGAAGAGCCTCCTATACTAGGGGGTTGCAGAAGATAGATAAGCACTCTCCATAATATTGCAGCGTAAGCCTTCATACCCTCTCTCTCGCTCTCTCTCTGACTGAATATTCAAGGTGAAGTTGTTTTGATTCACAATTTTCAAGTTGAAAAGACTACTTTTTTATCATAGAAACCTCTCTGTTAGTGTGTGTGAACTGGGTTGGGGAGGATTTTGTTATCTTGCACATAAGTATGATTAACTCATAGAAACCCCTATGCTTAATCACAAGAAAATTCTCTATTGACCTGCTTTGATGACTTTCTTTTCAGAGTTCACCACCAAGCTTATGGAAATCTCATATACCAAAAGCTTAGCAGAAATGGTAAGTCAACTTTGCACACTCTGATAATCTTAAACATCTTTTAAGTTGTCTCTAGTTTTCAGTTATGTTTTGTAGTGACAGTTTCAATATCATCGTTCATTGTTAGTAGTTGAAAGTTGGCCAGGAATAATGTAGGAAGTTATCAAGCCAAAACAAGAAGAATAAAATTATAGAAAGATCTATAAAAGGGAATGACATCTAATGGAAGAAGGATATGATTTCATATAAATTTACCTGGAGCAATTGGAAAATCATGTAAATAAAGTGGGAACTATGTGGATTTTCTTTAAGATGAATCAGTGAATAAGAATGATGGATTTTAGGTTCTGTTTTCATTTCACAAAAAAACCTTGAGGAAATACTAGAATTAGAAAGTATTTCAATAGCCTTGTTACGTCATTTATGACTAAAAAGAAAAAATCATTTGACTGAAACAGGAAATGAAGGACCCCAGCATCATCTATCAGTGGCCAATGAACTCTCTTGACGAGCTCAAGACAATGTCCATGGCAGCTGCATTGGAAAACAATATACATCAGTCTTACTCTCACTCAATGTTTGACCTTAAACCACCAACAAAAATGTGTCATGTGGTTGATAGGCCCCTTAAGCCGCCCAAAACCAACAGCTGGACATCCTGCATAACCGATAATAATTCAAACCAACAAGCTGTTGCTTCTCCCAAACCTTTTTCCTATGCGAATTCTAATTACACAAATCAAGTTGGTATTGTTAAGCCTGAAGAGGAAACGGTGTCTTCCAAATTCGCGACTGCTTTGGCTTCTGATATCTTCCAAAGTTCATTTGGGAACCAAAATTATATGTTCAAGGCTTGTCAAGAAGCTAAGAGGATTAGCTCAAGCAGCAGATCATTTTCTCAAACTCAGGATCATATCATTGCTGAGAGAAAGAGGAGAGAAAAGCTCAGCCAGAGGTTCATAGCTCTGTCTGCTTTAGTGCCTGGGCTAAAGAAGGTATTACTTTCTCCAGGAAAAAATTTCTACACTAACTCAGGTTTGAAAAGAACTACATTTTCCCACTGAGGAGAAGAATAGATATCCTTACGAGCATGACAGACCAATTTTTTTTGGTTTTGGTGTGAACAAGAATGCACAAGTGGTTGAACATTGAAATTGCCACGTTTGGCATCTTTCAGAATGTTTCTTCTAATGCTTTAGAATCAATATTCTAATTTGTTTTTCTTTGTTTCTATTATGTTTTAGAAATATTTCTGAAATGTTTCCTTCGCAAGAATTTTGATCCTTATTGACAGAAAATATTTGCAGTACTCGAGTATTTTAAGTATCTTCTCTTTCATGGTTTTTTTTTTTGTGTGATGCTAAATTATTTATTCACTTCTCCTGCTGTATCTTCTTGATTTACTCTCACAGATCCTTTATAATTTCCTGCTATTCGTTATTGGAAGCCTTATTTTCACACTTTTTTGATATAAAATAGGTGACATGTGGAACTTTTTCTTCATTTTTTTATAATTGTACTTAATTTCTTTAATTGTAGTCCATTGTATTGTGTATATTCTCACTTGGGATTTCACTAATTTGTTCACTAATCCTGATTTTGTCACCATAATATTAACAGATGGACAAGGCTTCTGTTCTAGGGGATGCTATCAAGTATTTGAAACAACTCCAAGAGAGAGTGAAAACACTTGAAGAACTGACCAAGAAGAAATCCATGGAATCAGTGGTTTTTGTGAAGAAATATGAGCTTGACTCCGAGGGTCACAATTCTTCTTCAGACGAAAATTTCCTCGGTGACCCTGTCGATGAGCCACTCCCAGAAATTGAAGCAAGATTTTCTGACAAAGATGTCCTCTTAAGAATTCATTGCGAGAAAAGGAATGGAGTTTTGGAAAAAACACTAGCTGAAATTGAGAAGCTTCATCTATCAGTTATCAATAGCAGTGTCATGACTTTTGGGACTTATGCTCTTGAGATAACTGTTATTGCTCAGGTGATCTTATTTCTCTTGTATAAACACTATTTTTTTTCTGATTTAATCGTTTGTTGCTGCTAGTTCAGTGTTGTAAGCTTTATTGAGGATATTGAGGAAAGTCTCGTGCACTAAGATGCCTTTTTGTAGTTCGTAAATTTGTATGTAACGAGGCATCCTCATATCTCAGAGTGCTGAAAGCAAATCGAAATGAATTTTTCTCTCTAAATTCTTAATGAAACACATTGAAACTTGTCTCAAATTTCTTGCAGAAGGATGTGGAGTTCAGCATGACAATGAAGGATCTTGTGAAGAATCTGCACTCATCTCTCAAATTGCTCAAGTGAAAGAAATTCCCAGTTTACTTTACGTAAAGAATCCCCTATTTTTCAGTTTCATCTTCCTCTGAAGCTCTGAAAAAATGGAATAATCCTCATGTACCGAGTCAGTGCAAGTACTTGTTTTCCCAAATTCCCGTAATCATCATCATTTTAGACTATCAGGCATCAGTCTTGAAGCTTGTTTTGCTGTGAGGTTCATTTTGAAGGAGGGTTTTTTCTATCATTTTTTTTCCATGGTTGATTCATTAACCATGTTAATCACCCTCCTGTTGTAAAGAATGATCTCATGGCTTGGTTAGGCTTCTTTTTTGTTGGGAAGTTGAAAAGTTCAACCAAACCTATGGTATTGTGTTCCTTTCTCTTGCCTGAAGTGATTGAAAAGTAAGAAACGGTTTTTTTAGGTGGATGGACAAACAGGTCTTTGTATAAGTAAAGGGGTTGTACTTTGATTGAAGTTAATATAATAATATTTCACAGTATCCTTAGAATGAGCTTGGGACTTGAATGTAAGTTGCTTTGTATGTGAAATTGCTTCATAAGCTTTGGACTTGTCTTATGCAGTGCATTCTAAAGTTGGGCAAAATTAGTTCAAAGTGGACAATCTTATACAATGCAGCTCGGGGATTATAATCAGTATTAGTTTCATTGACCCTCGTGACCTCTGCAGAGGCCATGAGAGTTTGTGCATTCCACGTTGCACCTTGATTGGGTGAGCCAGTGACTTGGGGTTGCAAGGGTCCTTGTCCAAAAACCCACGTTACCTCCGTTGGAGCTGGTCCTTTGAACTTTTCTTGTACAATGTGTTTTAAATATTGTACAGGCTTGGCTCAAAAGAGATAACATTGTACAAGGCGGATTCTGGGCATCGAAATAGATAAATGGAAAAATACCGGATTGTTGTATAAGAGTTTATGATTGAAATTTTTGACAGAAGACCTACAGATTAAAATCCATGAAAATAAGAATTGGCAGCTAAGAATTAAGAGAAGAATATTCATTTGCCAGTTGGAGGTCTTATCTGGGGGTATAAACCTATGACTAAGAGGCATTATCAGAAGGAGTTGCTATGATCTGAGTCTCCACCAAAGATTGTGATCTTCTAACTTCTTTTATTTTTTTGGGTTCAACGATTAGGGATGTCCAAGTCAGTTTACCTGCATCTCGACTAATCTCCTCCTTCGTCCGATTAAAAGCAGGTCATCCACACTAGAATTAAAGAATTCATAATTAACCCGTTATACATAGTTTACGAGTAATCATTTATATTTTTAGTTTACATTATTGATAGGAATCTCAAAAGCTACATGATTTTGTGATAGTTTTCTACTATCAAGATAAGCTTGAAGCATGTGAAAATTTTGTTTGTTGTTCCATTTTTAAGAGTAGTAAACTACTGATTTTTTATTTTTTATTTTAAAAAAAAGAACAACAACTAGAGTAGGTGGTGGGACTATGATAACTCTTGAGCCAACTCTCAGTTTCTTTGAGACAATTTGCAATTGTTTTAAAGGATAATTATGTGGGCAAGCTGTTTCTTTCTGAGAGTCAATCCCTGCAAATAGCAAGCTGTCACTACTATAAAAATGCAATATCTTTCAATGGCTATAAGAAAAATTACTAATAATGCATATATATTTTTTCTACAAAAATTATTAAATTCTATTATATTTATCTTAGAAAAATACAAAACTCCATCAATAGTGTATTTGGTTCCAATTTTATCCTTCCCATGGACACACTAATTACGTTTGTACTCATATATTTTTTTATTAGTGTCCCAAAGCAAATTATTATTCTCATTTCATATTTCTAATAAATTAGAACATCATTATTGTTCGAAGGCATATAGAAAAGAAATAATTCTAGCACTAGAAGCTACACCAATATATTTAAGAGATAAAATAAAAAATTATTTATTTATAATAGGACTTTTATACTATGTATGATTTACTCACATATGAACTCTTACATGTTAAGAGGGTGCGTGGTTTGATAATTTCAACGTAATGGACTTTAATTTAACATATAAAAAATTATATCTCAATAAATAAAATCGGATATAAAATTGTACACAAAAATGAAATTGTGTGTTCATGAGAAAGATAAAATTAAAAAAAAACATACAATTAATGAAGTTTAATTTAATTATACATAAATTAATTCGAACACCTTGTACGTGACATTCTTTTTTGAAAATTGGGCACTTGGCATTGATGTGGATGCCCTTGTGTGAGTTTAGTCTAGGTTTGAGATGGGCTTGGGTTTGGACCTAAACGTGAAACCCAATTCAGGTACGTGATTTGAGTTTGGATCAAAATATGATACCCAGTGTAGGCAGTTAGATCAGTGGATAATGTTAGTATAACATAATTTAGTTCGGAATTTCCATATCAAAGCTGTGGTGTCGTGGTGTAGTTGGTTATCACGTCAGTCTAACACACTGAAGGTCTCCGGTTCGAGTCCGGGCGACGCCACTTTCTGGCTACTCTACTTTCATGTTTTTTTGCATCCAACACGACGTCGTACTGACCCGCCTCTCCAATTTCATCCAAACAACCTCATCTCCGACTTATGCAGGCCCACATGTACGACCAACCACGTCACCACTGCTTAATACCACCAATCACATTCTCCTCTTGCATCATATTCTCAATCCCCATTGGTCCTTTACCTCCACGTCATCATCCCTATAACCTCCACCACAAATCTTGAATACAAATAAAAAAAATCACACTTTAGCCCTCTTAAGTCTCGCTATTATAATAAGGGATTAATTTATGAACTCTCACCGAAACGCAAGTATTGATTTAATTAGTGTATGAATTGAGAGACTGATTTATACACCCATAATTTGTTCTTGATTCTATTCGAACTCACTAACTTGAGCGACATAAGCGATACTCTACTCACCTAAAATAAGACAAAGATTTCTCCTATTACCCAAAAAAAAGTATGTCTATTGTTTCACATTGTTCCATCAACCAGGGAGTTGCCCGCATTATATATGAAATTATAATTCTTGATTTCAAATTATCCTCTCAATTATTATATTTTTTACTTCAAATTTTCATATATGATTATTGATTTTACATTATAATAATGTTATATTGACTCAAAAATGACCAAAAACAATGACCAATTGATATTACATTACTATAATGAGAAAATTTTAAATATATAAAAGTGAGACCAATTATACCATTAATGATGATACAACATTATTTGGTCATTGTTTTTAGTCTTATTTTTTTTTTTGTCAGTTTATCATTACTCTTTTACACTATTTCAATCATACACACATCAAAAAACATATATTTTATTATACATTTGAATATTTTCTGTCTAAAACATGTTAAATATTTGGTTTTAGTACAGTGTAAAATAAATTCAAGTAGTTAAGGGAGTAATTGGATAAATTTGATATTTAAAGGGCAAAGTGAAATTAAATCGATAATTGGGGAGGTCAAAATATAATTTTTTTTTTCATACAATATAGTTCCCCCAATTCTTAAACCCAGCCCCAACCTTTTCTTCCCCCTTCAGTATAAATTTTTTTCCATCGAATTTCCGATTGAAACAGGCCGGATCTCCTCTCCTCGAATTCAGGCGACCCCAAAATCAATCTCCGATGGCATTGAGATTAATATCGATTAATTTCGTAGCAATTTTTTTAGTTCTGCTCACCGTCCAATCATTACCATCGACGGCTCTGATCGCCACCCCGGACCTCAATCCTCCCTACCCTAAAGCCATCTCTGTAAGTCCATTCTCTCTATTCAATTCCCATTCGATTTTTTTCGGAGAAATCTGTTCAGATTTTTAATTTGTGGTTTTTGTGTCTGTGTGTTGTAGGATTTGAAGGAAGCGATTGTGAAAGGATTAGGGTTTCAAGCGGATGATGTGAAGGTATCTGGGTTTGATTTGAGGGACGCGTTGGTGGGACGATCTGTGGCTTACGAATTTGATGTTGAGATTGATAATAAAGTTCTTCCGTTTAAGCTTTTGGAGGATGTGAATAGATGGGAGTATGTGGATTTGCCGATTTTTCGTGTGGAGGATCCGGTGAGGCCTGGTGAGGAGAATGGGTTGATTGAGAGGCAGAAATTGGATAGCGGGTTGCCGGTTTTGGCTCCGTTTCAGTTGGCGGGTCCGATGGAGCTTTGGATTCAGGATGCCAAGGACATGAGGCTTTCACTGCCGGTCAGTTCTCTTTTTGACGTTGTTTTGTTCAAATTCTGTTAAGAATTCGTTTGTTTGCCTTGTGTTACCTCAAAATTTTGTTTTCAATTCATATGTTAATGTGTCAAAAGAGCAGTCTAGTGCATAAGGTTCACGCCAGTGCGGGGTTTAGGTTGTTTCAGGCTTTCAGCAACTCAAACACTTGACGGTCTCATGTCATAATAGATCAATCTTATTACTGTTCTAAGGCTATCCCTCCTATATGTTAATATGTTGTAAAGCTGAATTTGAGATTGAGTGGCAAGGTTGAATGCCTTGAACGTTGAGTTGTTGTTTTCTGGAACTGGGAATTAAATGACTGAAAATGCTTCCTTGTTTTAGCATTCCCTTTTATTTCATCATTTTGTCGAAGAGGGTTTGTAAAAAAACCTTGAAGGTGATGTTCTGATTTCATTTCACACTTACTGGTAGTTGGAAATGAGATCCCAGTTTGAAATGTTGGTATCTAAATGCTCTTATAGGGTGCTTCTTGTGTTATCTAGTTTGTTAGATCATTAACAGTTCTTGAATTGTTCAATAAACAGCAATGTTTTTTTTTTTTTTTTAGCAGTTGACACATGATTATGTCTGATTTCTCAATAAATGTTGTAAAGTATGTTCCTCAAAATTTCATCAAACCTAGAAATTTAATAATATCCTCATTGTGGAAGTGAATATTTTTGTCCCTGATTTTGATAGCTGGTTTTCGTGGTTCACATCACTTTTTAGAATCCAATATCATCAGAGTGATTGGATGATTGATTTTTGATTTCTTGTGGAAATATGCAGCATGATGTAGATGCGGGTGTGCTGAAGAAAATAATCTTAGCAGATGGTGCGGTGGTTACTGTCAAGGGTGCTAGGTCAGTTAGCCTGCGTCATCCAATTGAGCTCCCACTTCCCTTGAACCGAACTCAGAATGGTTTTGCCTCAGGTCTTCTAACTCTTGCAGATCGTCTACGCCATGCTTGCCGTGCCCAGGAGGCCCCACTTCTCTCCTTACGTATTGTTGGTCCTACATCTCTGGCATCCCCTACCTCGTCATCAACGTCTTCAAATAATAAGCTCAAGCTTAAGCGCCTTGCTCCAGGCTTAGTGGAGCTGTATTCAGCGTCAAAAACAAAATCTGTTGAAGCTGTACCCACTGTTGATCTTGAAGGAGAAGCAACCGCCCTATTAACTCCAGACCGATTCACTGCATTTTGGCCTCTGGCTTCCATCAATGGCTCAAATTCTAACTTGCTTGGTTTTGAGGCGCTGCTCTCTTCAGTGCTCGGTCCAAAAGCTAATAAGGAGGGTTCTTTCAAGCTGTTGAAGGCAGATGTATCCGCTCAGACTTCTGTGAAGATTGGTTTTGGGGTGGAGAAGAAGTTGAAAGAAGGAGATGGATTTGATTGGGAGGGATTTCCAGAATGGAGGACAAAGCCGGAGAGTATGAGGATGCATTTTGAGGTATTGGCCAAGGTCGAGGGGGACAAGGTTGTGCCCGAGAGAGTGATGCAGGTTAATCCTGTTATTGTGGAGGATACAGTGTCGCCGAACATGCTCCTGGGGAACATGACTATGTCTACGACCCCTATTGTTCATCCTCCGCCCAATCCATTCATGCTGTGAATTTTGGTGTGGTTTTGTTGAAGCTGAGCAAAGTGTAAAGTTTTTTTTGTTTCTCTTAAAAATTGTTACGCAACCATGTATATCAGATGGTGAAAGAAGTTTTCGCTATAAAAACTAGTGAAATGAGATTATGAAAAGAGTTTGGTTAGCCTGTGATGTTCACTATTCTTTGACATTGATTTTTTCCCTTTTTTTTTTTTTCATGTTTTCTGTCTTTATCCTTTTGGCTGTCTCAAATACAATTGTATAAATTAGATATTGATTTCACAAAATTCTGACAAGGGTCATTCAGAAAATCGAGACTATAAACCTTAGGAGGGACTCGTTTAAAAGTTTCAACAGATGTTACCATTTCAATTTTGCTGAGAGAGTTGATGCTTCTATGTCTTGCAGAAAGTGACCTTGTTTAGTTTCCATGGAACATATGAAGAGCACTTAATTATTGTATGATTTTGTATCAACCAATGTTAACATAAATTCAAGGTAGTATATCTTTTTTAGGCATTACAGGAGAGCAATATTTTGAGGAAGATTAATCAGGAGAACAAAATATAGAAAGACCTTAATAAGATTAGTAGTCATAGAGCTCATCTTTTCTATTTCTTGATAAAGGAAATTCCCTTCTGAATGCTTCCTGCTAACTCGTTCTTTGCTTTCTCCAATCCAACCCTGTTCAGAGTTTTCTAGTGAGTAAAGAGAAAACTGTGTGCTGGTTATATATTTTGTTCAAAACGATTGGTTATGTCATACCTCTCATACTCATTCAGGGGGCCAAGTTGGTAGACTTCTTCAGCTCCAGTACGGCCAAGTCTTACCTTGGATGCAAAGAAAGGGAGTTCTGTGACCTACAAAAACAATGAGTATTGGTCAGAAAGTCTTATGGAACAAATTGGAGGCGGGGCGATTTTGGCGCGTAATGAAGGTTTGGGGAATTACCTGAGAAGCTACGAAAGCACATTCCACAATGCCAGCATCTCCTCTCAAGCCACGGAGGCACGTATCCGCAAATTTAACTGCTGCATACGCCTATATATTAAAGTTTACGGGTAACTTATATTTTGGTTTATTGAGGTCACACATTAAGCCAGAAGAAGTAGAATTTTATGTTAAAAACTTAACAAGTGAACAAAAATCTAAACTAACCATTGATAGTGTTGCAGAGCCAGCCCCAGCTTTTGCCTGCAAATGAAGTGAGTAACTTTCACTCACAGTCCCTTAACTAAGTGATCTACCAATTGGAAAATATGAGCATCTAGGCAGATAATCAGTGAAAATGTATGTTAATTGCTACTTAATACGATTCCAAATCTTCCCCAGAAATGGAATTGGTGAACTTTTACTTACTAGTCCAGCCTTGTTGAGTTAGTTTCCTGTTTTGGAACACTACATGCAATTTGGGAGATCATAAGCGACTTTTACCTGAACTACTTCTGTTCCACCATCTTGAATGCGTTTTGTAAGGTATTCCGTTTCTTCTGGTGTGAAGCTGCAAGGAGGCTTAACCTGCAGAGGGACACCATATTGGCTGCTTGCTTAAAATTTGTTATAAATTACAACTAAGTGATTGGAGGCAGTGCTTTAAATGTGAGTTTTTTAATAAATTGATATGAATTCTTTGTCAGACCTGTGAGAGCAGAGGCAAAATTGTCACTCCTGAATGACCTCCAACAACCGGAACATCAACTTCCCTAGGATCAAGCCCCAGAACTTCTGCCTGTAAGGATAACAGCAGAAGATGGTGCAAAGACATTTAACATCAGTGGTGACTTTAAAACACTATATGTAATGACTTTGTCATCTGCAACATAGAATACATGATCAAGCAATCCCACAATTTTTGAAGCTAATCAGGCATTCATGAGGCATATCTAAGCAAGTATATGTTGTGTCATCACCTCATGGAAGTTCAAAAAATTTGAACTTAATCCTAAGCAAGTATATGTTGAGTCATCACCTCATGAAAGTTCAAAAACCTTGAACTTAATCCTTAGGTTATACATCACTATGACAGCAAAATAACCGAGAATTATTGTGATAAAAAAACATAGGGATTCTTTGCAGTTTTTCTGCTCAAACACTATAGCCACAAGTCAATAGCTCATAAATTAGAGAGAGTTAGGAACCATAATAGATGGTTGTAGGATCCAAGGACTTCAAGACCCGTGAAAATTAAGAAGTTAACACTGCAAAAGGTCCACCTAGAACTAACAAGTAAATGGTTTTGCATGCCAAAAGTACTTCATAACAGGGTATGGGGCCACAGATATGGATCCTCCTATGAGAGCGGAAGATATGGTTACACTTACTTTATGCATAACAACCTATATAGAACTTACCTCAAAAAGAATCCATATAGAATAGGAAGGCACATGTGTTCCCATCATATACTTCAAAGAGTTAATAATTTTGGACTATAGGTCATCATTATCGATTTTAAGGGAGGGTACAGACAAGTTATTTGTAACCAGAAGAAAAACTAGGAGTACCAACTTATAATTGCATACCACAAAAGTATTAGCTCTAACAACGTCAAGCATTGTGACTCCCAAAAGCCTCTTTGGATCATAAGTGCCAGCTTTCTTGAAAACTTCAGCTGCAATTGGGACTGTAGAGTTCACCGGATTGCTAATAAGGTTCACAATCGCATTAGGGCAGCATTTTGCGATTCCTTCACACAGTGTCTTGACAATTCCAGCATTGATGTTGAAAAGGTCATCCCTTGTCATTCCTGGCTTCCTTGGAACACCAGCCGGTATGATTACAAGGTCCATTCCTGCCAGAGCACTTTCAAGCTGAGGCTGCCCTAGAAAACCTCGTACCTACAAACCAAAAAACCATTCTTTAGTCACTATCAACCATCATCAAGTTGCAGCGTCGTAAGGTGGTATCAGCCGACACGCTGCGATTCCAAATGACTCAGCTGTGATGGTCCGAGACATCTCTGAGTCAATCACAAATCAAGTGAAACTTGTGGTTTGCATGAAAAGGGCATGTGTCTCAAAATGGATTGTCATTCCGGATATGACTTGGTCGAATTGTATAGCTATTGGTCGATTTTTTCAACCAAGTGATCAACATTTCAGTGAATGGAAGAATAAATTAGTATTGAGAGAAGAAATATACCACAGCACCAGTGTCCATGTGACTAATATCAGCTGTCACACCAGGTGCATTAACAACATCATAGAGATGAAGAACAGAAACCAGTGGATTCATCTTCATCAACATTGCAAGAGGCTGGCCAATACCTCCAGCAGCACCCAATATGGCAACTTTGAATCCAGGTGCCCCTCCTTTTGCTCTACAATTGGTTCTTCCTAAAATGGAACTTTCCTCCATCTTTCAGAACACAAAGGAAACACAAGAACTTCAACTTCAGCAAAAACATCAATCATTGCCCAAACACTTGATTATCAACAATACCCAAAAGGAAAGACAACCCAGAAACGACAGAGAATTATATAAGAATACATATATAAAAAATAACAAGTACGATGGACAATTATTAGCATTGGATAATAGCTAAAGCCTCTGTTTATAGAAGAAGACAGACCTGGACATTTGAAGGATGGAGATGAGCTGAGATTCTTGCAATGCGTTGATTAGCTTCCGCACTTGGCTGCATCTTTGCGAGAGAGCGAGAGGGAGAAAGGGAGAGAGAGAGAGGTTTCTTCTGGATCACAATGCAAAGGTGAATTACAATAACAATATATGGAGAGAGTGCGAGATGAGGAGGTTGATGTGAATGGCATGAAACTTTACAAAAGTCTAATTTTTTGTGGAAACAGATTTTCTGAACTATTATCCTCTTTATCCAGTGGATGTGGCCTCAGAACTCTCTCTCTCTCTCTCTCTCTCTCTGTGGATGAACTGAGACCTGGGATTATGTAGACTATTAGACCGTTACTTGTTCCAATTGCTGTTGTGGATAAGCATCAAAATTTTAATTCGTTCCATTGTTTCGGTGGCATAAAAAATAAAAACGTTTTGATGTATCTTAAAAATATTTTTATTTTTTTAAAAAATATTTTTATTTTGTTTTAAAAATAAAATATAAAAATTATTTTTTAAAAATATAAGTCGAATTATACCAAAATATTTTAAAATAATTATGCTAATACATTGAAACTTAAAATATTTTAAAATATTATAAAATTAATTTATTTCGATTTTTTTGAAAACAGAATAATTTCGGACAATCCAAAACGGGCTGAATGGTCGGGCCAACACGTCCACGGGCAACCTTCCATGGACCACGGGCTCGATAATTGGGTTGTTGACTGGGATCGGACCAGTCCTAACAAATTTGTAGCAGGTTATTTATTGGATCGATTTTAATCATCTTAATTTTTCTAAAAATTTTGCCATTATAAAAGGTTTTGAATTTGTTTGGGTAAAAGCGAAACGGAGTATATCTCGATCCGGAAATGTCGGGCTTTCTTTATGGACCTTTGTTGGACCAACCTGTGGTTTCTAGCGGGCTATTTTCAAAGCTTATACATGAGGCCCAGGTTAATGGGTGCCACGTGTTATCAACTGTGAAATATGAAAGGCAGGAGCATATGCTGGACAAACATAGAAAACTCACTAATTTAGAGGGTCTCAAGTTTAATTATTTTTTACATTTCTTAAGAATTAGTCACCCAAGGACATCCTTTAATCCATCTTGAGTCACGATAATAATGTAAAAAAATGTATTATCACAAGGAGAGACTCGTAACCTGCACTAGATGATTGGGTGATCGATTAAAGTTAGAATCTTATAAAAATTAATTTTAATTAGAGTCTCATCCCTCATATGGGTTAATTAAGTGGTCTCCTACATTATTAATTCATATTTTTTCAATTATAAAAAAATTTAATGTCATCATATGATTTAAGGATTATTATATTTGATATTTATTAATTGATGTACACGTGCGTTGCACATGAATCACCATATTTTTTTCTTGATCAATCTCTAATTTATTTAAATATTCTTCAACTAATTTCTCAAAACTGTTAAGAAAACTCACTTAGCACTTTTATGGTCAATACTTTATAGATGTGTTTCACTTTCAAAAAAGATCTAAGATTTAATTGGTAATTTTTTGTGTTTGTCAAATACAATAGGTTGAATTTTTGTAATTTGTTCCACCTTAAACTATGTGTTAGGTAAATGTATTTCCCTATCTAACATCTACACTTTCTACAACCTTAGGTGATCTGCTTCAAAAAGATAGTTGTAAAAATGAAACTTCAACCTTCGATCGGAATACAGATGAGATCAAAAAGGCCATTATTGGGGCAAACAATGCGATAGCTTTGGTTAGAACAAAGCCCAAAATGGCATAACCAAATGATTGTTTAGCCAATGATGAATTTTGCGCCACGGAATGAATCGAGGAACTAAGGACGTTTCCAATGCCAATAGCAGCTCCCGCTGAAACAATTGTAGCAGCTCTGACACCCATTGATTTTGCACCTTCTAACATCTCGAGTTGAGAATTCTTATCACGCTTTTTCATTCACGATTTTATGTTATAGATTCCTCGTCGATTCTTCCCCTCGTTCCTTTTCTCTTTGGCAAATGTTATAGAATTTCTATTTTACTGTCACAAAACTCAATAAAACGATGGGCAACCTGAAGTTGTCCTAAATTAAATCATCTTGAATCAGTTTGTTAGCCTCAATCAGTTGATGTTCTTTTTTGAACTTAATAAAAATTGAGTGAAAGAGACAAACATATTCCTTATCCACAAAGCGTGATAAACAATTCTTTATAGTCTTTTGTTTGATAGGGAAGAACCATGAGAATGCAAGCTAAATTATAGGACTCTTATGAATGTTATTGTTAAGAGGCATACTAACAATGAAGAGATGAGTTTAGAATCAAGAATTTTCCCTTCACAAAATTAGCATAGGAATAAGATTCAAGAGATTGTTTTGCACCTATCCTATAAACATAAAAAGTCACATTCTATTATCCACTCTTAAAAGCCTTCAAAAATGGCCAAAATTGTTGCTTTGATGCCTAAACTTGTTGTTTTCGGCTTAGAAAAAGAAAGAATTGGATATTCGTCAAAGTTTTCAAATAATTCCTACGTAACTAAGGTCATGTGTGGACATGTCTCTTAACGATAATGAGCTGCAACAAATTAGATCTAAAATATTGTTTAAAATAATTTGAAGCATAATTAAGTTAATCAATGATTTATTTAATTGTGATGGCATAATGAGTTCACATGAAAAATCCAAAATCCTTCAAGCATTACCCATGCTTAAGACTCTAACCGCAACTTAGAGATGTATGCATTAATCTATTCATATGTACATGGTACATATATCTACAACTATAAATTTATCTAACTGGACAAAAATTGAATAGATAGGAACCTCACAGAGCAACATTATTAAAGAGTTTAATACTTAAAATATACTTGATTTTTAGTTAAATAAAAACTTATCAAAGTCATGAATACATATTACAGAGTTCTTAAAGAGTACCTCAAATAAAATTTTTGCATAAGGAGTTGTGTGTGTTTATTAGTGAGAGCATATGCACATTTCAGAGGGACCATGCACATGTATAATAAGAAAAATTCATAACTTAAACAAAATTCATAAGAATAAGCAACAAAAATAGACATGAGCATGTAGTAGAGTGAGATTTTTAACCTTTATTGATGCTTCAAGTTTTGAGATTTGCGTGAAGTACCTAGAGAAATAGGCATATTTGGGTTTCAAAAAAAAGATGAATACAATTAAGTGGACAAACAGGATGAATCCAAGTAAAAGCACTCCATCCAAAATTTTAAGATCAATCTAATGAATCCAATTAACAGACAATGCGCCCAAGTCAAAAAGAATTGTTATGGGGAATAAAGATAATTGATACCTGTTGATGTAGTGCAAACACAAACAATTCGTGTGAAAGCTAGAGAGATAGAGAGAGAAAAGGATGTGTTCCAATTGGAAGATGGAAGCTCAATAGAGTTCTAATTGATAATGTAATATCTAGTAACTCAATGCTTATATAGTACTATTACTAATTGACGGTGCTATCATTTTTTTAGGAAGTAAGAATACGAAAAGATATGAAATCATTAGAGCGATTAAGTAAGGTATAGATAATTAAATAAGAAAGGAAATAGTTGACTTTAATTTTTTTTACAAGGACATAATTGTTAATTAAAAATTTTTCACTTTTGTTGACATTTTATAGTAGTGTATAGATATAGATATATTACATGATAATGACATTTTCTTTATTGAAAATAATAATAACAAATAAAATCACCAATAAAGATACAAGACTAATTAAAAATAACTTTTAATGGGATGAAGTATGTATCACTAATAATCATAGGGAGTTGCTTATATTAAGTAAAATAAGAAATTCTAAATGTGTAGTGTATACATCTCTCTCACTTACCGACAAAACAAATTAACCGATCTCTCTCTAATAGAAAAATCTTTTATTTGATCTTCTGCTTCGCTTTTTTGGGAGGTATGCAATTATCTTATTTATTGCCTCAACTCAAATTTACTGTTTGTGTGTTGTGGGTGTGAATGCATCACTGATCTTGGTTTGTTAGGTCGATCTAGAATTTTATTCAACACATATTCATTTTTGCATTAAGAGTTTTACGTGTTTAATAATTGAAGACATTGAAAAACATTAGTACATCTGTTAATTTGCTTGTTATATGTTATGAATTTTCCTATACGTATGGTTTTTGTTAGTTTTATATTGATATCGAGGTTGATTATACTTCTATTAATCGATCTAAAGTTGAAAATAGGTATTTTTTTTATTAATTCCCAATTAAGAATTTAATTTTATGGTGAAATTCTTTCAAAATGTTACGTGTATGACATCCTTTATCATAAGATCGTATAAAAAATGATTAGGAAGATAATGACAACGATGGCAATGAAAAAATATTATAAATTTGGTGTATCCGTGGACACGATGCAAAACACAATTGGTGATGGAAATTTGATTAGACAGGAAGATAAATATTCCACTAGCATTAGAGTAGGCATTAGACACCCTCCCTAATCTAATCATAGTAAGTAGTAAGCATCTACCTATGAGGTTAGGACTCTGCTCAAGGACTCATCCACAACCTAGGTCATCCTTTCTTCCTCACTCTCGTATACTCGGAACCCCATCTCTCTCCTCTTATTCTCCCATCTCATTTCCTCGAAAGCGTTTCACCTTCTCAGGTCTCTCTCTCTCTCTTTCACACTCACACACACACACACAATCCCCCACAATTTTCCGTTCTTGTATTCTCTGGAGTTGAGGTATGGAATTATGATTCATATGCTTCATGTATGGAGTAGAGTAGATATATCATCTTTTATACGGATCTTTGTATATTTCATCTATTTATGAGAATTGAGAAAAGATGATATCTTCTTCTTTTTTTAATGTTACTAATATGTATTAGAATGGTGGGTTGTCACTCATAGCGGTTCTTATTTGATGCAATACAATCAATTATTTGCAAATCTCATGTGCATGCGTGTGTGTGTGCATATAATCCTGTTTTGTTTTCTGTTCTTTTGCTGTAGTTATTTTTTTTTTACCCAACATGGTTTTAGTAATGGCAGAATAACTGAAATAGTAGCCTGATTAGTTCACTTGAAATAGAAACGAAGTTTTTTAAGATTTGTTAATAATACATATTATGGGTTTTGGCAGAGTTTTATAGGGTTTTGTTTGACTGTTGAACAGGGAGAAAGAAATTAATTTTACGCGCTCAGAATCTTGATTATAAAAGTGAGCAGCAGCTAAGTGCAGCATATATGGATTTAAGGAAAGAATTTCCAGAATTGAAGAGAAACCTTTATCCGGATATAGAACCATATAGTACAGGGTTTTTGAAGGTTTCCGATCTTCACACAATCTATTGGGAGCAATCAGGAAATCCAAATGGGCATGTGAGTAGTCATTACCCTGCTTCTTAAAATATATTTCTTGTTAGAGACCACCATTTAATATGTGAATTGTTCTTTATTTTATCATTCACTTTATACAAGTAATTCATTTTGTCTTGTTCGAGAGCAAGTAATAATAGTCATGGTTGGTGTGTATTTGCTACTGTTCTCATAGTAGTGTAGTTAAGCATTTGAATGTATTGAGTGTGCTGTGGAAACCGAATTTATTTCATTTCATTTTGCGCGTTATGTTGTTTATGAGTTCAACCATTTTGTTTGTCATATCTGGGTTCTCTTTTTCCTCCTAAGATTCATGCTAAGAGAGTGCATTTTCTGATTTTGGAGATCGACCATGTTTCTTTAATACTTGGGTGATTAGATGTTTAAACTACACAATGCGTGTGCCATTTTCTGGCCATCCACTCAACCTGCACGATGCAGCTGCCCCCTGACCAATCTATAGTAATAAGGGGCAGACAGCATCTGGTTTGCCAAACTAGACTTCAGAGCATCCCTGTCATCAACTCAACCTCTTTCTATCGGCAGAAGATTCTTCAATAATTCGTTGGCTGAATTATTGAAATCGGTAGGTGAGACTGTGTCTTTTGAATGATGAAAACAAAGTATGGTTGTGGAAAACTAATTTTACTCTTTTGTGCTGCATAGATGGGTATCATGGGGAAGGGAAGGGTCCTGCTTAAAATGTGGTGGGCTTTTCATCTTTACTTCCAGTGCCTTGGGAGTGCATTTGTGTTTTGTAGACGTTTTACTTGGTTCTTTTGGCCGCAGTAGATATTTTTTACTTGAACTTTTTACTCAATTCTAAAACGTAGAAACCTTTGAAATATATCAATTGTATGAATTGTCTCATTATTTGCCAATTATAGGAATTATTTTATTGATAATGAGCTTGTGTTGCTTTGGTTTTATAGCATACACCTCATTGTACTAGCAATGCAACACGTGTTTTGTACGCGAATAATTTTCATAGGCACAATATTAATAAAAGGTATATGTGTATCTACATTAAATATCATATCAAGTTTATAAAAAATCATATTTTTATCGCTCGTATTATACTATAAAATTCAAAAAATATTTTCTTTTCCCAGCAATTTGTTGTTCTAATTATAAGAAAAAAGATAAAAATAATTCATTTGAAATTTGTTTGATTAGGTTTCAATTTGAATAAAATAACAATAATTGTCCATATTCTTAGGTCAATAGGGATAAAATATAGGGTTAATAACACTTTGAGTTTCTAAAATATGCGTTTTTTTTTTTATCAATTTCATCCTTAATATATGAATTTTATCAATTTGGTCCATAAAATATTCAATTCTTGTTTAAATGGTCCCTAATCAGACAATCTATTTAGTTTTTTTATGAAAATGACCACATGTCATTCCATCATTTAGTATCACGTGACCAATACGTGATCACTTCTGTCAAAAACTTAACAAATTGTTGGTGTAAAGATCATTTAAACTATTAATTTTATAGACCAAATTGACAAAATTGATACAATGAAGAACAAACTGATAAAATATGTATATTTCAGAGACTAAAAGTTCTATTAACCCTAAAATATAATACACTACTCTATAATATATATTTTAAAAGAATATTAAAATTCTAAAATTCAAGTTTTAGTTAAAAATATACTATAATTTTTTTTTATATAAACACTTAATAAAACATGAAATTTTACTTTGATTGAAGAATTATGTTAATTTAACATAAATTATTTTTTAACAAACTACATAAAATATATTTTTTTTATCTTAAAAATGAAATGGTTAAAATTTTAGATAAAAAAAATATACATATATAAGTATAATGTTATTTTTCTATTTGAAAATGAGTAATGTTAGATTGATGAAAGTTTTCAAGATTTTTTAAATACTTTATTGAAAATTATAGTGATGCACATATTTTTTAAAAGTAACGTAGTTAATTAAAAAATTTCATAGATATTGATATTTATATATGGTGAATAAAGATCTAAAAGAGATATTTTAGGTAATTTGGAGATTTAAACACATAAGTATATGATAGTAATTTAGATATTTAACTACGTATGGATAGTGTGGTATTTAAAATTCTTTATAAGAGTAAAATAGTGAATCAAAAAATTTTCATTCTAAGATACTGTTATTAGTAGTATAAATAGAAAAAAAATACATATATAGACATAAAGTTATTTTTTTATTTGAAAAAAGTAATGAGCTGTTGATAGACTTTTTGAACACGTTATTGAAAATTATAATGATGCATATATTTTTTTAAGGGTTGCGTAGTGAATTAAAAATTTTCATAGATATTGGTATTTATACAAAGATAATAGAGAATTAAAATAGATGTTAGAGGGGAATTTAAAAATTTAAATACATAAGGTTGTGATTGTAATTTAAATATTTAACTATAAAAAGATAATGTGGTATTTAAAATTCTTTATAAGGGTAAAATAGTAAGTCAAAAGTTTTTCACTTAAGGTACTTTTATTAGTAGTATAGATTCACAAGGCATTTTATTAGGAACTATTTGAATGCGTGTCTTGCCTAACTATGCAGCTTTTGAAGATCTTTTTAAACTATGCAGCCAGTTGTTTTTCTCCATGGGGGTCCAGGTGGTGGAACATCACCAAGTAATCGGAGATTCTTTGATCCTGAATTTTATCGGATCATTTTATTTGATCAGGTTTTGTATCCGAACCATTTTGCTTAAGACTAAAATATTAGCTGCTGAAATTGTGTTCACACAAACATTGTCTTTTTGCAGCGAGGTGCTGGTAAGAGTACACCCCATGCTTGCTTGCTGGAGAACACAACATGGGATCTAATTGAAGACATTGAAAAGCTAAGAGGACACCTAGAAATTCCAGAATGGCAGGTTGAAATTTTGTATATTTGACTGGTATGGCGGACGTTTCTATATTTGGCTTTCATCAGCTTCATTATGCAGGTGTTTGGTGGGTCATGGGGAAGCACACTTGCTCTTGCATACAGCCAATCACATCCTGATAAGGTGTGCTTCTTTGTTTACTTTGCCCCTTTGCCTTTTCTTCAAGCCCTTCCATTGGAGAACCTATGGTTTTAGCGTAAGAAACCTTTCCATTGGCATCAATTGTTGAAAATGTGTTTTCTGATGTTATTTTAAGGTTACTGGAATTGTGCTTAGAGGGATCTTTTTGTTGCGGAAGAAAGAGATTGATTGGTTTTATGAGGGTGGTGCTGCAGCCATATTCCCTGATGGTAAGCTTTAGGATAAACTGGTTGTATTATTCATACAAGCCTCACCTGGTAGAGTTTATTGTATGTGGGTAACTCAAGCCATTGAACATTCTTCTGAACATGTCTTGGGAAAGTTTTTAGATGATAGAATGACAATAATGTCTCAGCACATGTTGTGAGAACATGTTAATGCAATCTTACCAAATATTTAAAAACTGATTTGTTATGTGTAGCAAACTCTTTGCATTCATTGTGATTGTCTTACCTCTTTTTATGACATTAATATGTGATACATTTGAAAATGTTCTTATCTTTTTCCTGTGGTTTTTACACTACTACACTGTATTTGGCGAGTTTTAACTGCCTTTTGCATGACGGCAGTGAAACTACGTATATTCATTGTTTAAAAGCCACATGAATGAAGAAACTTCAAATTGCTCACTAACATACCTTACTGGGTGGGGAATATGACAGTTGTTCTTGGGATAGTTTTTTGTTCCTCTAATTTATCGATTTGATATGCTGCCTTTGTGCTAATTGGACAGCCTGAGGATTTTTAAGGTGGCTAAAGATTGCACATTTCTTCTCCATTTGCAGCTTGGGAGCTATTTAAGGATCTTATTCCAGAGAATGAAAGAGGATGTTTTATCGAGGCCTACCATAAGAGATTAAACTCCGATGACAATGAAACACAAGTAAGATTTGTGCCCTCGATGCATGTTTTTCTTTTATGAGCTCCTTTTGGTGATTGAAAATTGTGATTCCCTACACTCATGTTGGCTGCAAAAGCAACTTTCTATGTATGAAACCGCATACAGGTAAATGAAGATAGTTCATGCCTGGTTCACAATGTTTTGCATTTAATGAGTATTGTTTACGTTTTAAATTAATTCGTAGTTCAATTATTTTGATTCTCCTCATGTCTTATAAATTGATAAATGCATAATTGTCTTGATGCATGTTCATCGATTGGTTTTTTCGTCTTGCATCTGTACAGATTAAATTTTACTAGTGAAAAGATATATTTGAATGGAAAACGGAGTTCAAGAGATGTGTATTACCGATGTAGGCTGAATCATTGTTTTTGGAGTCACTTTGTTGGATTAATTTGGTATGTGATTGAATGAGATGTGTGTACCCAGGCCTTTTTAGAAAGTAATAATTAAAGCATAAGAAGCTGCTTGACTTCAACAGGAAATGACAGTGCTTGTAATCTACAATATAGCCAACTTATCATCTGTAAACATTGTTGGTAAGAATTTTCTTGGATTAAGGGCTGTCTACTTTTACATTCCCAAATGCCATTAAAATGATGGGTGTAATCTCGAAAGAAACAATAATATCCTCACGCACATTGTCCTTTTGGCTTCATTGATTATGAATTGCATGTTCTTCGTCTTTCTATGAGTTGAAGTTTTTTCCACAACTCAGATCATTGGTTGTATCTACTTATAAATACCCCAAATGCTACTAAACCGATGAGTCTGATATTGGAAGAAACAATAATATGGTTGAAAATATTGATCAAACAAAGAATAAGGAAGAGAGAAAGAGATGTCGGAGTCAGTTTAGCTTATTTTGTTTTGATAAATCAATGAAGCTGTAATATATTCTCTCTTATTTTTTGTTTTATCAATATTTTCATGGTATCAAAGCAAGTTTGAGTCCTAAACATGAATTACAGCACTGTAGTACTCTTTAAAGAAAGGAAAGGACTAAACTACTCTAACACAGCTTTTGGCTTCATTGATCATGAATTTGCGTTTTCATCATCTTGCCTCAAGTTGAGGTGTTTTCTAAACGCATTATTTTTTGTTAGTTTGCGGCTGCCAGGGCATGGACCAAATGGGAAATGATGACTGCTCATCTTCTTCCAAGTGAGGAGACCATAAAGAGAGGGGATGATGACAACTTTTCTCTGGTTAGTTACTCTGATAATTGATGATATGGTTGCATTGTAATTATAGTGAGGTTGGAATTCGAGAACTGTTATTTCCATGAAGTTTGCTAGACCTTTGTATATAACCTAGGACATTACCTAGATGCATGTATACTTGATAGATTGTAATTAAAAAACAGTGAGACAGTTGATGGGGTCTTATACATCTTTCTTAATGTGAAGGCTGAAAAATTGTTCATGGCATTCAAACTTTATTAAAATATTTGAGTATGAAACATTGGTCTATGTTGGAAAAGATCCAATCATTAGAATTTGAGCATTGGGGGATTATCAGTCCTGAAAAGCATTTCCATGCAAAAGAAGCTATTAATTTCTTATTTGGTGGGGCCCTTTATGTTAAATCTTCTTTCTAAATTTGTTAGATTTTTAAAACAATTTTATCCCCTTACTTTCTGTGGTGAATAGGTTTCCAAGAGGTTAGTTGCTGTATGTTTCCTTATTGTCCTTCAAATAGCCTTTTTCTCCTGGTTGGGCCGTAGGCAAAGTAATATTGTTTCTTGATGCCATGTAAGATGGATTGTCTATGTTGGGAAAGTTGCTTGATTCAAAGGTTCCAGGTACACCACAGTCAAACATCCATACCACTCCTTCTCGAGTGTAGATGGAAAAGTTTGAGCTCATTTGTGCACTTTCAGATGGTAATGTACAAAGAGGATGCATGCAACTGGTCTTAATACACAAGATGGTGCTGAATATACACAATATATAGACAAATCAAATAAAGAGCATGCAACTGGTCTTAGTTCCTTGTATTTCCTTTGCTAGATGTGAAGTTGACATGGCTATCTGTACATTGAGTTTACCTTGAAGTTTTGAACCACCTTCAATTTACAATCAGGCAGATGTTTGTAGTGTCTTCTAGCTTTGATTTTTTCCGATTGTTTGAGATGATTGATCTTAGCTTCTTGCCATGACATATATCTATTTTGCTCCATCCAGGCATTTGCGAGGATTGAGAACCACTACTTTGTAAACAAGGGATTCTTTCCTTCGGATTCATACCTGTTAGATAACATTGAAAAGATCAGGCATATAAATGCTGTAATTGTACAGGTAACTGTTGTGCCTGTCTCCACTATATTACTGACTAGCGCTTTACAAACATATGGTTTGTAAAGATGTATTTTTGGATTAATGTATAGATGTTATGATTATTTGGTTTTTTTCCTTCGACTTTTGGCACCTCTCCATTTGATTAACTCGATTGGCAGCTGACCTGCATTTATTGGGAACAACATTCTTTTACAGAAATAATGGAATGCCGTCGATTTGTGGGTTGGTGGAGATAAAGAAGATATATTCATATATGTCCTTTAGTCCCACTTGTTTTTTGTATTAATCATGTCGAATAGTTGCAAAAATGTTTGAGTGGACTGTTGCACAGTGCAATGGTAAAAAAGATTGGGCTGCAGCATATGCCAGTATTTTGATTATAATTCTCACACAACCATATATGTGTTGTTGCATGTTCTACTTTTTAACTGTTCTGTTAGGATTTGTCATCCCACTCGAATTAAAATTCATATCATATGTGCTACCGTCATGTATGCAGCTGCATGTTCCTAAAACTTTCTGAACAGTTCAGGTTTGATATCTGATTTTGAATGGTAACTGCCTTGAATTATTGCAGGGAAGATATGACGTTTGCTGCCCCATGATGTCAGCATGGGATCTTCATAAAGCTTGGCCACAGGCGGATTTTAGGGTAAGGGAAATACTTAAATAACTTGTGTTGCCTAATATATCAATGCCTAGGACTTGCTGATTTATCATTATAATTCTGCTGTGGAACAGGTGGTTCCAGATGCAGGACATTCTGCTAACGAGCCAGGAATAGGAGCAGAACTTGTAGCTGCAAATGAGAAGATGAAAAATATTATCAACAGAAATTAGCCCTCATATAATTAAGTGCATTTCATGGCACAAATTTTCCCGCGTGGGAGCAGAGACAATGATCACATAGTGCAGGGTTATTTTTGATGCAGTTTTGATGTCTCATGGAATTTGACTCAATAATTTTGAACTTTCTTAGAGAAATGAGATCTCTGTGGCCATTGTTGAATGTGTTAAAACCATGAATTACTCTGCTTGCTTCAATTGTATCATTTTCAGTGGATGGGTGAATGCATCCCTTGGATGAGGCTTTTATTAATCATTTTGGGCTGCCAGACTTAAAAGTATATTGCAGGAAAAGCATATAGTATGGTCTATGGTTAGCTTGTTTCCTAGCTAGGGTTCAGATAAGAAGCTGTGTAGTTCTTGTATTGACCGCGACAAAAGATGAGCAAATTGCGTGATAGACTTGTGAATCTCAGGTGTTTTGTCTTGCACGGTGACAAAGGTGAGTTGAGCTAATTGAATTACCTTATTTTATAGCTTTTTTTATTTTTATTTTCTGTTTTATGGTTTCTCTCCCTTGGGAGAGAAGTTGCTCGTTGCTTGATGCTTGATGCTTGTTGCTCCTGTTAGGCAGAAAACTCAAGTAAGGACCTCGACTTTCTCTACTACTTGCATCTATTTCTCCTCCTTCCATCATTGGGCAAGAAAGATGAAAATTGGGCCATGCTACCATGATCTGATACTGAATCTATAGTACATACAAGTACCCCTCTGCAAACGTTGATCATTTGAAACATAAAAAGTCAAAATCAAAATCAAAATCAAAAGAGCTCCTCATTAGCATACATAATTCAATACACAATTGAACAAGAAGGGTATTACACTCCAAACTGGGAAAGTATGAAAACAATACACTCCAAACTGGGCAAGTATGAAAACAATTCACCTACACTATTTTCCCTATGCAGCTCTTTGGCACATGGGTACCGTGAAAATTTGGTCCCTTAGGAATGGTCACAGGTCGTCTTCCCCGTGATGATGATCTTGAAGCAGAAGCTGTACCTTTGGTTGCTGTGGTGGTTTCACTCTCCCCCAGTTTTTCTGCTTCATTGGCTCTTGAGAGTTTTGATGATGTTTCCCTTATTACACCCAGTTTCTGACATGGTGTTATGCAAGAAGATGTTTCCTTCCTAGTGGAACTGCAATAAATGAATCTACATACAGTTAGTCTCGAAAGAACATTCTTCATTAGTCACAGACAAGGTAATTAACGAGCAGGAGTAGTACTCACCCTTGTTGCCTAACAAGTTGTCGCTGCAGAGAAGGTGATTCTGTCTTTCTTGAGCTATTCTCTGATTTTTGGCTTACACAAACCTTATCATATCCAGGTGGGGTGATCATACATTTGGGTTCTTGGTTTGTTGATTTCAAACGCCTTTGTGGGGTTAATGTGGCTGCTTTGGGTCTCACTTGCCCTCGTGAACAAATGCTTGCTGTTTTACTCTGTTTCTGCAAATTATAAGAATTAATATTTTGAACCTTCGATTAATATGAACAGATGGGACCTTTAGGAAAAGAGTTAATTTACGGAAAACCTACAAGTTCACTCTTTTGGAAATTCTTTTCTGATTCTTTTTCTCTGCCTTCAAGCAAATCACTGTTGCAGTTACTCTGTTCAGAGCATTGGTCATTTCTCCGTCAGCAAAAGCAATAAATCAGACGAGGATATGAAATTTTCTCAAAATCTAATGTTAAATACTAGTTATACTCACTTGGATACCATTATCAGGCCTTTTGTGTGAGTTCTCACATTTGAACCTTGTAACTGTTGCTGATTCCTTCTGAGGAGCTAGAAAATGGATTTTTCTCTCCAGGTTGGTTTCCTTTAGAATCCCTCTTTCCTGAAAAATCCTAGATTCTATCAGATACAACTCCAATTATACTGTTTCTAATATGCAAGTTAATGTGAAAAAAAACCATGCTTACTTGAGTTCTTAGCCTAAAAGGCTTGGGGCTTGTAGGCTTTGGTTTTCTGTACTTTATCCCAAAAGCACCAGTAGCAGCAGAAGGGAGCCCATCTTTTAAATTCTTATCAAGTGTTTGAGTAACCTACATCAATTTCAATAATATATGGCTATCAGATACTGTATAGGCAAGCAACTATATGTATATTGCAGCAACTCTGAAACAAGAGGCAAAAATGGAAGGAACCTTTTTCCTGTTTTCATGTGTCTCCTGCCTGCCAAAGATTTTTCTTCCATACGGCTGGTTTTTATGGTTAAGATCTCTGCAAAATAAGGAAAACAATTACAAAGAGAAGTAATAGTTCTCCCACAAAGAGGAGCTTTCGTGACCAGCAAATAAGTGAGCCGAGGCAGAAAAAAAGTCTCAGGAAGGGCAAAAAAGTTGTGCTGATATAAAGATCTGATAATAAGAAGCGTAGTCACGGGAATACAATATGTAAGATTGACTGGCATCATACCTGTAGCCATCAGAAGCCAAAGCATTTTCTTTATCATCACTGTCCATTGTTTCACCCTCGTGGTCTTCACCTTCTGAAGTTTGATGTTCAGTTGGCTGATCTATAGGTCTTTCCTCTTTCTTTGAGCTTGATTTTATGCTACCTTCCTGTGCAATTCTATCATTTCCATCATCTCCCTCTCCATTTAGAGCAAGAATATTCGGAAAATCATTTATTTCCAAATCCCTTTCTTCATTGTTTGATGGGGAATTCATTCCACATCTCAGGGCATCTGACAATCCCACCTGTGTACTCTTAGTTGATGGTGGCACCTCGGGCTCTGAGGATAGAATGGCTTCTTCTTGAGTAGAGGAACTTGTTGAACCGAAATTTCCTGATGAATCCTCAGCTATCAGATGCTCTTCATTCTCCCTCATTTTTACATCAATTTTTATACCACTGTTGTCGTTTTCAATCACTTCCTTAGATGTAGGGCGGCAACACTGTTTGTTTACGTTCCGTCTGCTCTTACTCTTCATAGATCTCGAAGATTTGACTTCTTGGTCTTTAAAATTCCGAGGGTGTAACAAATCTTTAGCCCTGCTTTTGTCCTTGCAAGCAATTGTACCATTTCTTGAATTATCTACAGCCAATGCCTTCTTAGGATTGCATTTAACGTCCTTCGATGATTTGTTAGCATACCCCAAGATACGCTTTCTTTGACTCGTTATCTCGAGCCTCTTCATTCCTTCACAAATCTTCGTTAATGGAGTACGCAATTCTACTGAAGTTTTCACGATGATGGCTTTCTTAGGAGAGTGAAAGACTAGAGCCTTTGCAACTATACGGCTTTTTGGTACTGCTATTGTTGTTGTTGGTTTGGGTTCTGAACACTTTTAAAGGAGTTTGGATTTGGTGGACACTTTTTGTTCCTTGGAGTAGTCAAGTACTTGGCAGCAACTTGCTTTGACTTGGCCTTTGGGGTAGCACTCAGCTTTGTAAGAGGCATAACATTGGCTTTGTCATCACCCATCTTCTGAGAAAGCGATGAAACCACTGCCAATTTCGATACTCTAGACTTGGAAGATTTCGGGGGGGCAGAAAGAGGACATTTTATGTTCGAACTGCAAGATAAATTTAACAGGTTTCAGAGAAAACCCAATTACATGAACGTGTTGATCTACGAAGTCTCTCTGTACATACATACCCTGAAGCTTTTCTATTTAGTGCTTTTCGAAGTCTTATATTGGGACTTCTTGCTGCCATTACCTGCATAAATCAATGGTGTCAAGAGTTCCAATTGACACTGAAAGTAAACCAATTGAAAGAAGAAATCTCGTATCATGACTAACCCGAAGAATGAAATTCTTGTAGATTGCTTCCGAGTCCATTTCTTCTTCATGCTTTTGATCACAACCTGATACAGAATTAAGAAGAGAGAGAAGGTTTATTAAAAGATCATGTAATTGCAATCTTGTAAAAGATTAGGGGCAGACTCCAAAAAACTAAAAACAAAAAGCTGACTTTGATCAACATAAAATAAATAAATCTTATGAATATTCAATGTATCGACATTTGGTAATATAGATGCACTAAGAAGATGTCACGTCGTAGAAACTGAAGAAAGATGAGAAATGATCTATCACATCCCTATTTAAAAAAAAATAACTAACTAGAGGTTATTATTCAATAACCGTTGATGAAAGCAAAACCTTAGAGGACAATGATTATAAAAGGGCATATAGTGGAGAATATAAGATACACCCGTATAAGACCCACGATTTAGATATATTTAAAAGTCGTTTTAAGTTAGTTTTAAAAATTAGTTACTACTATATTCAAGGTTGTCCTTCGATTGGATTAATAAAGAATTTGTTCTTTTATTAGTTCCCTACATTGTGTTTATTCATTGTTTTCATCCAAGAAAGTCTTGAAATAAAGCATTTGAAACCTCTCATAAACAATCGCATGAAAATTGTTTGTCGATTGAGATCTTTTCGTCAATCTTAACAGATTTTAGAGTAACAAGTAGTAATTTGAAATACAAACCAAGTTTAAGATACCAAATGAGAGTTAAAAGCAAAGGGAAGAAACATATCTCAGGCTTTCTGATTACAGTTACAAAATCATATTCAGGCTTGGGCATATGCTATGTTTTTGTGTACGTGACGACCCCAATAACCCATTATCGGGTGAAGCATGTGTGGAGTGGTACATAACTATGAGCTTTAAACCTTTATTGTACTTTGTGTTCTAAAGTCATGCGATGTTAGCTCAAAATAGATAATATTATACAATACAGATCCGATGAGTTACATTATCATTCATAGTTATTTAGCTCAATTAACTTCCTTGTCTTTGTGTTCCCAAATGACAAAAGCATCTAACAAGTTCCCCCTTTTCTTTCCTCCATTTTCTCAGCAGCGAAACAGGAGTTCTCTTATCAAAATGGCAAAACCCTAACAAAGGGGGAGGAAACACATAGAAACAATGTGTGATCTCATTAAAAAATGCACAAATTCCCATACATTCAGATCAAATCTCTGTTATCCCGAATCAATATACAATCCGAAATATGATGAGAAACAATCGAATCACAATGCCAAAACACAATCAAGCCATAACGATTGTCAAGATTGGAGAATAAAAATGAAAAAGGGGGGGGTAGAGAAGAACACTGACCGACGCGCAAGCAGAACCAGTAACGATCGTCGGGGACGATACGAGTTGGGAGCCCTAAAGTCGACGAACTTGGGCGCTTCAATCTTCTCGTAGAACTCCTCGTCCGAGTCTTCTTCTTTGTCTTTGATCTGCTTCGAAATTTGGGGTTCGTCCTCCATTTTTTCCGACTTGGGTGAGAAGAGTAGAGAGAAAAGGGGCCGGCGGTGGTGTTTTGAGGAGGTTCGGCGGTGGAGGAGCGCCGCGAAGTGGGTGGGTGGGTGGAAGAGAGAGTGGCGTTTCTTTGTGATCTCGTACTGGTTAGTAGTTTGCAGAGAGACTCGATGAGTATGATTTTTAAACAACTCATTGTCTGTAAGTAGCCGTTACAAAGTTCTTTATTTTTTATTTTATTCCATTCGGACAACGTTGTGGGCCTTCGTTACAACATCCAAAAAGTATATCATCCAGTTACATGGCCCAAAACTTTGTCATAAAGCCCAATATCTTGAAAGTATATGGATTGCAGACTAGCCATTGTCAAAGTGGGGTTCAGGCTCGTGTTTAAGTCTGTCAATCATGTCGACTGAGATAACTTCGTATCAGTGGGATTATGTTAAAAAATATTTTACTCATTTTCAATTTTTTTGTTAATTTGTGTATGACAAATATTAACCCTTCATGTTCGTATCGTATATGAATTGTGTATAACTGATATATAAACGAGTTATGTTATGTAATTTTTTTGATTGACTTCTCTCATAATTGATTCGTTTATTAATCATGTCGGGTCAGATCTGATCTACTATTTATAAAAGAGTGATTTAAGAAAGACCAAAACCCACTCATTTCAAATGGTGTCATATTAGATCATAGATGTTTTAGAATCATGTCAAATATTAGCCACATTTGTAATTTGATTCCAAAATATTTCACTTATTTTTAATTTTCTTTGGTCATGAGACTAGTTCTCTTTGTTTTCGAGCTTCCATTCCTCAATTCACTAATTCGTTCCTTAATGTACCTTGCCATCTCTTCAAATCCAATGTATTCGGTGGTTGTTGGATGAATCAACGTCACTCATCCATTGATTGATACATCCCGAAGTTCTTAATTAAACATCAACTCATTTATCTTTGAAAAATCAAACGAGATTTTTATAAATTTATGGGCTGCTACAGAAATTTTGAAAAAGGAAGGGGGGGAGGAGAGGTGAACATACATGGTTCCCTCCAAGCTGTTTAAGCTTGCCCCTCATAGTTTTTTTTTCTTCTTTTCTAGAAATTGATATGCATATAGTCATTTAACATAACCGTCAAAAAACAGAATAACTATTTGTAGAAGACCTCATCACATCTAAGGTGGGACTGAAGCTAAGTTACATCATAAGTCATAACTTTCACCCTCTAGATCACTGACTTCTTTGTTCCGCTCTTGCAATAAATTGGAACTACATATGAGTCGTGAAATTCACACTTTTATTTTTCTTGCTATTTTTGTTTATTGAGATATCGAGATATTAGCTGACTACTCATCTCGGATGAGATCACTGCATTAATACATGATATTACTAATCAATGATATATAAATCTCTCAATAGGTCAAATAAATCTCACTATTTCAATAACTATAGCATCCCAAAACTACCACAATAGATTAAGTGTGATTCACTAAGCCTACTTGTAGATTTGTAATTACTTGGTAGCAATAGGGATGCAGATCACTGTTGCATTGAATATTCTCTAAGTACAACTATTTATACTTAATTTATTGATCTAAATCACCGCAATTATTGAATAAGTTGTTAATCTCAATATAAACTAAGGGTTCACTATCAATCTATCAACTGTAATAGCTTGGGTAAACATTTTTTTTCCCGATCAGATGAAGGGCGATTCGAATCGGCACCCAAACAAAATGGATTGTCACTCGGGTAAACCCATATAGGTCGTAGGTAAATAAATTATATTGATAAATTTTATCCGTTTTTTTCGTATTCTCCATTTGTGGGTCCCTAAGTTTGCATTATCATCTTGTCGAAATTTTTTTTTTTTTGCATTATCACAAGAACAGAAAACAGCATGCAGGCCACACGTACGTATGTGTAACAGATGAGAGCTCACTGGTTGGTCATTGGTCAATATACGGCACCGGCGGCTACCAACCCTCCTCATCAACTGACTTCTTATTCACTATATTCCATATCTGACTAAATAAATACTCCTTCAATTGCATGCAAAAGTCGTTGCCTGTCACCAGCAACAATCCCTTGGTGTCATCATCAATGGCGTTTACTACATTGCTATCAAGAAAATCAGCAACAAAGTTTGTGCAGTATGGTCAATAACTGGCCTTTTCGATCCGTCTTTACCCACTGATTATAGATACCATGTGGCCAAGTCGTATTTGAAACGATGCCTTCTATCCTGATATCATACTATATTATACGTTTTTGTGTAAATTACGAGTTTCGTGCGACTCCTCCGAGACAAGTAGCAATGTATATAGTATGGTCAATAACAGGCCTTTTCCATCCATCCCTCTCTGTGATTCAATGATCAAAAGCAGCTACCGATTTTGTGATTATGTGAGAGGCATGCATGAATGATTCTACGCACTGATTGGTTTTGTGGTCGAATAAAATATTAAGGGGTGAGCTTTTTGTGTTCGGGTTTTAGTCACAAAAAATTCAATCATACATGTGGTTATTAAGTGATCGTTTTGTGTTGTAACTATGAATATAATGACCGCATAGTTTGAACGATATGCATTAAAAAAAATCTTTTTATTTAATAGTGTGGTAATGAGATTGTGACTGTGGAAGTTGTCACCAAGATTAGCATTTTTTTTTGACATTTTTGCACAAACAGTGACATTTTTTTGTAAATCAATGATGGTGTAGACTGCCGTAGAATTCTGCTTGCAGTGTTAAATAGTCAAAGAGAGCAACTCTAAGAAAATGAGAAAAGACTACAACTTCGAAAATGTAAGTGACAGTGGCCATATGCAATAGAATGGACAAGTTATAAATTATGGACCCCAATCGAATATACAGGAATATTCAAA